CAAACTGCACAAAAGGACGTACACGAGTGCATTATTTACAAAAATAGCAAACATTGACTTGACTTTAAGTCACTCCTCTCGTCTACTTTGAAAACATCTTACTGTAGGCACTATCACGCTCTATTACTATGACGAGTTTCAACAATGGCAAATAGCCCACGCCCTCTTTGACCTCACCTTGGTAACTGATTTTGGTATGTCAAGACTTCAAATTGGCACAAAGGATGCCAAATTGACAGGTGAGCAGTTACTGAAAACCTGGTGTTGTTAACGTTTGGTGTTCAGCTGTTCTCGAAAAACCACAGGGGAAGTCAACTCACCCCCCCCCCCCCCCCTCTGGAAACTAATACCCTTGCAACCACTGATGACAGACTCAGCAAAAAGCGCGGTTTTTATCATTTCAACTGTCTAAATCGTCCGGCATAAGCTGACAGCTGTCTGATGAGCGTGTTTTTCCTGGAACGCGTCAATATCGCCGCGATTTCACCTCCCACGTTCGAGAACATGAAAAATAGATCGACACCGGATGCAGGTTCTGATCAAGATTTCGACAGCCCGGCGTCGCAGCGGCACGAGACTATTACGAACACCAGCGGGGGGGGGGGGGGGAGGGAAACAGACAATGGTACCGGCAAAACTGTGAGCCATGTATGCGGTACAGCACGCGCTATTACACGTAAACCGTTGATTCGTACGTTTTGGGAAATCTGTAAGCATTGCTGTCAGATCTTAACAGCTAAGGCGCATTAAGGCGTGGAGGAACCGCAATTTTTGGTAGCAAATGTACCGATGAAACCCACAAACACGCCTCAAACTGCACATAGCACATAGGTGTTCCGGCAACCGACCGAAAAGTGACCAATGACGCTGTAATACAGGCATGACTGGCGTTTTGCCCGTTATGGCTAATATCCACCGAAGAATATGCGTCTTTGTGGTTTTGGTCACAGTCTCTAAAGCGAAGATCATTGCAAAGTTCTTGATTTCGTCGACCAACTTGTGCCTAATTCGACTCAAACTCGGAAAAGAATGAGAAGTACCCAAATTTTCCGTGAATCGAGCTCAATTTGAATTCCTGGTTTTTGACGTGGACTGAAGCAGTTTTGTCAACATTGAATGGAACTAAATTAGCAGCAAGTCATCAAGTGTGGTTAAAGATTCAAGAATGACGATTTCAATGATTGATGAATACGAATGACAGAAAGAATGCCAGGCTTATTTTTATGAGTGGAAGCTTCATCATACCCAATGATAACACGTTCTTTAAACTAAGCAGTATTCGCCTGATTGAGACCCAAGGCCACGATCACGCTATTCATTCTTCTGAGTCTGAATACGATCGCTTCACGAGGAGCTGCATCAAGCTCTGAAATTGGCCGTCAATGAAAATTTCCAACCTATATCAAGTGCATAACACGTTCAGAGTTAACCGATTTAAAAATAAACGTGTTTTTGAATTAGCACGCGAAAACTCCATACGTGAAATTCAGCTTGTAGCCTTCTCATGAAAGGTGCTTTTTAACGACTAAATCGATTTGTGTACGTTGCTAAGGGCGGCTGCCTCTGAGCTTAGTTTTTGGCGTCATCTGCGTGATACCCGAGTGTTCTCGCCTGTCGCCGCCTCGCTGGGCTCACGCCACATAAGGCGCATTACTGGTGCTTACATAATGGCGTTTACTGGCTACCACATGCAAAAGTATAAGCCATTAACACAACGTCAGTATCTTATCAACACTGAGCCTTCGTACAGCTAGCGTTCAGCTAGCACGTGTACCCGCCTATCTCGTGGCCCGTTGTTGTCAGAGTCTATCTCGTGGCCCGCTGTTGTCAGGGTCTATCTCATGGCCCGCTGTTGTCACGCAGACTGCGTGTGTCAGGGAAGGAGGCGGTGAGCCGACGGACGCGACGTGTCATCACTGACGGGCATCGGCGGTGGTGCCTCACACGTCTCGGCACGTGCTCGTCCTGGACATCGTGACATGTTGGACATCCTGGACGTCCTGGACATCCTGGCATCGCGGACATGAGACAAAGTCGTCACAGGACGGGCTTGCAAGTCAAGCCAAGTCGAGCTAAGTCAAGCCGTCAAGTCCGGCTGAGCGGATTGTTCCGCGAGCCCGGCGCGGTGACAAACACCATTCCTGAGTCAGCGCCATGGTCAACAGCGATCGGCGAGCACGGATCAGTCGCGGCGGCTATGCGGCCCGCCAGCCGACCTGAATACCAATCCGTATATTAAGGGGGTCCGGGTAGCTGCCTTCCCCGGTTCAGCCACCGGGGTAGACAGGTTTTTGCGGCACAGAGGGTGAGCGTCATTTAATGCACCCCCAGATGCGAAGGCCTACCAAGTCATGCAGACAAGGACTGTGGCCTATCGTTGCATACTTGCCTTGCTTTCATTCCAGTGTTCATATTGTCCCAACATTCCAGTCGTTTGTTTGTTCAGTTGCGTTCCAAGTGTTTAGAGCCGACGTCCTAAAACTTACAGACTTTTCTTGGGCACAATCACACATAACCTGTCGTAATTTGGCCCGCCATGATACCCAGGGGCGATTCCAGGAACGATCTTCGTAAGACATATTAGGACGAATCACGCGCTATCCGGTGCGAATGTCCCACCCACGGCTCTTCGACTGTATGCGGCCGACGTTCGATTGAAGTGAGCTATAATACGGTTCGCCGCGTCAAGGATGATCACATTTATGTGATAAGTGAAGCATGGAATTCCAGGGCCGGATCCAGGAGCAATAATGACACGCGTTTAAGTACTTGAATGTCCACCTGACCTATGCTCAACGACTTGCGGAAGCAACGTAATGTTAAAAGAGGACGTCATGAAGCCCCCCAGGAATCAAATGCATACAGGTAACACGCATCAAGTACGCGAATAACAAGACTGCTTCTGCGCCCACGGCGCCGGGCGATTGTATCGGGGAGGCTGGAACAGGCATTTGTTTTGTCGGTGGAATCAGCGGTGTCAGTCAATATGGTCGGGAAGCGGCCATTTGGATTGTCATCTTTTTGCGGGTATCTTCATTTGTATGCTGCGATGCACGTCCCTATCCCTTCGCATTGGTTTGCATATGCTCCGCGACCATAACACGGGCAGAGTCAGAGAGCATAAACGGGTCTCATGCACTCTGTTCTGGTCACTGATTTGGGTGCGCTGGCTCAAAATGTTCTCACGGAAGCCTGAGGGTTCATCAAACTGACCTCCTTGTTAAGGATTCCAATATCCAGCAATAACACAGATGACTGATGTGTACTTACAACAGCTGCCTGTCCCACAGCTACCGTTTCCAACTGTCGCAGCCTTGACAACACACTTTCCTCTTTTAAGTGCACCATTAAAATATTTTCAAAACTTTTTCACGTCAAAAGGGAGTTCACGCTTCAATGATCAGCTTAAGCACTCGAACGATAACATCAACACGGGAGATTTCGAGATCCCAGAGGTCAGGTGGACCTCCGCTCATTAAATGCAAATAGAAATGTAAAATCCTAAAGCAAAATTCACCGGATGACAATATAACTGACAACTGCGAATAGTGATCAACGCCATGATATGCATTTCATTCGCATTAATCCAGTGTTTTAAAATTAGGTAAATCTTCGACAGTACCATGCCCTGCAGCTGTTGGTAAATGACGCCAAAGTTGCAAAATCCTCTAGGAAGTTTCACATAGAATAACGGATCAAACAATGGTCATTCAAAGCGAAGAGATACTGCAAAATGACTACTGCATGGCTACAACTCTAGAAACAACTACGAGAAAGTTACGCAAATAATATTAATTTCTTGTTGGGCATATACAACTGTAATTTGACTCGCGTCCTGAGACCTATTGAAGCTCGCAGTAAACAACGTTCCATGACAGAAGAACTGCTAGCGCCCACAACAAGGAAGTCGCATATCAAACGCGTCAGCCGTTCACAAACCTATTTCATCAGGGCCGATCTTCGTCATCACTCTGAAAAACAGAGCTTCACGACCATGGACCTGCAAGAGCCCATGACAAACAGAGCTCCGTGCCAGCAAGCTTTCATATCTTGTCGGCAGGGGTCGAGTTACGCAGCGGTCTGCACAATATCCGGGCGTCGAGTTATCTCATTCGTGGATCCTTTTGCTGTAACCAAGCCAATCCTGTCCATCATGCTCCATGAATTCTGCGATCGGATGCTTCAAAATGTGGAGACCCAACACGAAAACTGGTTTGTTTCGACCGATAAAATTCGAACAGTTTATCATACTTCCATTTCAATCACAGCGCCGAGGGCCCCACGCAACACATTTTCTCCAGCACATAAATGTCCATAATGACATCCAGGGTGAAGCTTCTTTGACCGGCATCTTCAGAGGTCTCCGCCGCGCATGCGCCAAGAAGCGAACCACACGTCACGGGCTTCCGTCCTCCAGGCAAATCGATTTCACATCGGTATCAACTACTACTGAATTCAACAGCCGCGCTATCGAATCGGTTCGATGGGTCGAGTGCGGGTACAATCGACGCCAACATCGCAGCGCTGGGCGCCGTTCCTGCAGTATCGCGCTCAGGTATCGAACAATCTAATCAGACGGCACGCCGCCGGCCGGCCAACCACAGCGCGGGCTACCTCCGGTCGCTGACTTCGCAAACAACGGTCTGCAGACCCCCGACCCTCAATCGGACCCTGTGCCACAGGAGTAGGGTTTGACAGCTGTCGTCAGATCGCGGACGCGGATTTCGCAGCCGCTCGCCCAGAGCGGATCGGTCCCTCAGGTTCGACGACATTTCAACACGACGAAAAACACCTCCTCCGAGATCACCTCGCAACGCAGAGAGCGTGAGTCAGACCACAGCACAATGAAGGATCCCATCCAAGCCAATTCTCCGCAGCCAACCGGCGTTCCCGGAGCGCGCACCACAAGTCAGCTAAGCCGACCGTTGCCGCCGCACGGACGGCGGCGGGCGTCAGCAGGGCGGCCCAGGGCGACGGCCAGCGGACGGACGCGGTCCGAGTCAGACGGGCTCCCCCGCCACCAGCTGGCTGCTCGGCGCGCTGTCGTCGCAGTACGCGTGGAAAGAAACCATGACAAGGCTGTCCTGCTTGGCGGCGGCCCAGCACGTCATCCGGCCCAGGATGCGCCTGAAGGCCGTGCGGAAGTCCTGGCTGAAGCAGGCGTACAGCGCCGGGTTGATGGCCGAGTTGCAGTAGCCGAGCCAGAAGCAGAGCGTGAACACGGTGTCGCTGAAGCAGCGCTCACAGAACGGCCGCGCCAGGTACAGCGTGAAGAACGGCAGCCAGCAGAGTACGAACACGCCGATTAGCACGGCCAGCGTCTTGGCTGCCTTCGTCTCGACGCGGAACCGCTTGGCGTGCGCCTTCAGGTTCAGCTTGTTGACGCCGATCTTGAGCCGGCAGTCGGCCGCCTCGACGCCGCTGCCGGGAGAGACGGGAGCTGAGCGCGGCGACAGCCGGCGCGGCGGCACGGGTGGCAGGAGGCGCGCGCCGCTGCCCGCTGGCGGCAGCGAGCGCCGCTCGGCCGCGGCCGTGAAGTCGCAACCGAGTGGCGGCTGCAGCTGCGACGCGCTGCGCTCCAGTGGCGAGCGCGAACAGCGGCCGGAGCGGCGGCCTACCGAGGCGCGCTCCGGCGGCGGCCGCGGCCGCAGCCGCGCCGCCGCCCGGTCCGAGCGGGCCCGCCGCAGCACCACCGGCGAGGTGGCGCGCTCGACCGGCGCCGGGGCCAGGCTCCGCGCTGCCGGACCGCGCTCCGAGCCGGCCCGGCCCAGCGGCGGCGCCGGCAGGCTACGCGGCGGCGGCGACGGCGACGGCCGCCGCCGCCGCGGCGACGGAGAGCGTCGCCGCGCCGGGCTGCTGCTCGGCGGCCGCAGCAGGTCCTGTGCACTGCGCGAGCGCCGCTCCGGCTCCAGCGGGGCGGCGCGGCCGGCGGCGCCGTACGTCGAGCCGCGGCCGCGGTGGATGCGCAGCGTGACGCGCTCCTCGCTGGCGCGGCTCCGCCACGACTCGTGGTCGATCGTCTTGAAGCCCTTGTTGATGGAGCGCGTGGTGGAGGCGGCGGCGCGGTAGATGCGCCAGTAGAAGAACAGCATGATGAAGCAGGGTAGGAAGAACGAGCCGACCGCCGAGTACACCACGTAGCCGCGCTCGCTGATGAGCCGACACTCAGTGACCGGACAGAGTGCGTCTGCCGGCCCGGCGCCGCTCTCGCGCTGACCCATCAGCGGCGGCAGCGCAATGATGAACGCCACGAACCAGACGGCCGCCACCAGGGCGCGCGCGCGCCGCGTCGACATGAGGCTCGGGTAGCTGACAGGCCGCGTCACGGCCAGGAAGCGGTCCAGGCTGATGGCGCACAGGTTGAGGATGGAAGCGGTGCAGCACCACACGTCCGTGGCCAGCCATATGGAGCACCAGGCGGGGCCGAACAGCCAGCTGCCGGTCAGCTGGAGCGAGGCCGAGAACGGCAGCACCAGCAGGCCCACGAGCAGGTCGGCCGCCGCCAGCGAGCCGATGAACAGGTGCGTGGTGGTGCGGAGCCGCGCCGAGGTGGCGATAGCCGCCATCACCAGTCCGTTGCCTGTCACCACGGTGGTGTTGAGCAGCGCCAGCGCCAGCACCGACACCACGGCGCCGGGCGCCGACCAGTCGACGCCGCCACAGACCGCCGGCCGGTCCGGCGCCACCGACGTCATCGCCGGTGGCGCGCCAGCGAGCTCGAGCGTCGCGAAGTCAGGCAGCACCTCCGCCAGGCGCCGCAAGACCGTCGGCACCGGCGGGCGGCGACCGAGTGACGCCGGCGGCGGCGGCGGCGGCGTCGACTCCGACGGCGGGCCGCCGGCTCCAAACGGCGCCGGACGGCACGCGACGGCCGCCAGCTGGACGGACGCGCGCGGCGGGCCGATCGAACGCGCCGCGCCCACCCCCCGCCGCCCGCTTCATCGCTCTCGACACGCCGGCTCGAGGGCGACAAGGAGGCGGGAGGGTCGCGGGGGCGGCGGCCGTCGAGAGGGAGAGATGAGACCGACGGGTCGACCGCGAGCGAGAGCCCGACGAAAACAGGTGGCGGAGCCTGAGATCGGCGCTGGACATGCAAAACGATGTTGCGTCCATTTCGCAGTTCATCGCACATCTCCGTCGAAAGAACGGCTTGCTTACGTCATGAGAACGCACTACAGTGAAGGCGCAGGCTTTCGTCATAGCATGTCACGTTCTCGGTGCGGTGCTGACATGGAGGATCATGGACATCAACAACCGACATAATATAGTTTCTTTCGAACACGTACCGAGAAATGGAGCTGTGCGCACATTAGACATACACGTGTTGACACAAGAGTAGGTCCCGTTGACATGTCACAGTTATTTTGGAAACGATATCTAGCCAAAACGCTTCAGCTTTACGCCACCAAAGGGCGGTACACCGACCGGCCTTGAGCTGGGCTATTGAATGGGGTAAAAGTGGCCGTGGGAAGGAATTGATCACCAAACGGTCCAATCGCACTCCGTCTGGCCCGCGGCTGTTAAAGAGCGCTGAACACGCCACCGAGTCTGGGCCTTTCAGACTGCAGCGCCGGTGACGTCACTTAGTCGTCACGCACGAGCCAGGCAGCAGGGAACGATAAGTCCGCCACTTATTCAGGATTTACTCCGACGACTCGTTCACGCCATGGTGACAACAGTGCCGCGCGACCCTTCTGCGATAATTGCTGAGCTGTAGCGAATCCTTTCAAAGATTATTACTAAGGCACGCCTCTCTTTATCCCACTGTTGGGACGATGATCCACGGGAAGCAAATACTCACCGCGGGCAACACCCATCCAGGCTTATCCTTGTGGCTCCGCAGTATTACGTTGCAGCGTCTCCCAGGAACCGCCGCCAGTGCAAGTGGCAGCCCAGTTTTTAGATTCTTCGGTTTCGACCCGAGCGACTGTTGACATCAGCGTTTGAGGCTTTAGACAAGCCACAGCCGTGTCCAACAAAAATCAAAATACGCGAGCTCGGGACCGACGAAATGGCATCCTGACATCTGGTGTCAAGAGAGGGTACTAACAGTGTGCCACCCAGGCCCTACAGGGTTATTTTTAAAGTCAACTGTTCGAAAGCACTGATGGTTGGAAGCTAATGCCACTGTTGAGAGCACAATGCATATGATCCGACGGCAAAATCGTAGAAACAACGTACATAGTCAAATTCCCTCATTTGCGGGCGTGACACCATCTCATGAACAGGATTCACCTATTTTATTCGTGTACAATGATGAAACTAATTCCTGCAAGTGCCGAGCAGTCAGGTGAGGGAGGGAGGGGGGGGGGGGGGGGGGACGGTCGTTTGGCAGCCATGTATTCAGCGTATGGTCAGTGCTGATTGTCGAAACACGGCACCGGTCATACGGATGCGTGCAAACTGTTTGCTCCAGACGCAATGGTGATCCCCGCCCTTGAAACATGTCGGTTTTGTCTTTGGTGAGTGGATCCTACGGTTCGAGACGCGCAGCACCTGCAACACGGTGTTCCTTGGGGAACAAACCACTGGCAAGTACAGCTTTACGAGAAGCGCCGTTCGCATTCTTCACATCGACGTCGACCACAGCACGTCGCCGGTGCGCCGAATCTTTTGCGGTTTTCCACGACCGCTGTGACGCCTACCCCCCCGAGTTAAAGCCCGGCTTATGACGGGGCCGATCCGGCGAAACCGGTCGCAGTGCGGCGTCCTGGCGGCTGCCGGCGGTGACGTGTCACTCCAGAGGACGTTCGCCACAGGGACGTCCGGCGAGTGAACGCGCAGTCCCGTCCGAGCGCGAGGCACAATGCGCCGGCGCGGTGGAAAACGGTGCATGCTGTTCAAACACATCTACCCGGGAGTCTAGCGTGCAATCAACACGCCTGACCGTGTGAGCGGAAACTATTTGAACCTGCGTCAGCTTGTAAGCCGTAAAATGGGCCCTGGATTGAAAGCAGCTTCATATACGTCCAATACCGTCGCCATTTTGACGGGCGAATTAGTGCTGAGCACCAATCTATCTCTTACAGGAGACAACTGTCACGATCACTCGATATATTCTGCGAAGCCAACAGGCATATTCCTTGTCAATATGTGTAACATATGTATATTAACTGCATCCCATCCAGCCTGCAATGAGTGCCCGTTCCCACGTACCACGTGCACCCATAACACGTACCGCAGCACCATCCACGGGCAGGATCCTGTTCAGAGTTTGCGGGATCTTGTGATCATCATCAACACACAGAGGTGAGCGCATGGCAGAGCAATCGACGGCGCGTTACAGATGCATAACGAATATGTTGGCCCAACTACAAAAGTAGTTATCATTAACTAGCTCCCTGCATACAATTACGAATCGCAATGTCCAGTCGCCTGCTGAAAATCACACGACAAAAACCCGCATCGCCGGCTTGCTCACAGCTTGGCCTTGTACTTATCCATCTCGCTCTGGAAGGTCTTGAGTCGAAGCGCAAGGCCCATGTTGCCCTTGATCTTGAGCTTGCCCTGGAAGAAGGCCTTCTGCGCGTCCAGCTTGCCCATCATCAGGTCCACCAGGTCAGCGTCTGACAGCGTCAAGGTGACGTCGGCTTTCTCTGCGGGCCGGCGGAGCGCGCCCGGTCAGCGACGCCGCCCATGCGGGGGCAGCGGCGGCGGCGGCGGCCAGCCGTGTTACGGCGGATCCAGGTGGCATAGTCCGGGAGAGCCGATGACAATGCACCTGCAGCCGACACAGCCGGGTGGCGCCGCCGCTCAGGATGCTCGGGGAAGGACGGAAGGACGGTGAGAAGCGACGCTCGGGAGGGGCCGGACACCCTGCTCGAGGGGAGGAGTACCGAACTGGCGAGGAAAGGCGGTCAATTCACAGGGAGTGGCTGGCGAGTGCAGAAGATAACCGATTCTTAAAGGGATCGTACAAAGCAAAAAAGGATATTCACATTCAATATTTTAAGAGGCTGACATGATTTTCGCGTCTACCAAAGCAAACGCGACAAGAACAGACATTGCTAATTGAACTCTTCTTATTGAGCTGACGATGTCGTAATGCAAGAGCCCAAAACAATGTCGGCATGCTAGTATCCCTTACTGTGAATTTACTTACAGTGCACCCATGTCAAGACCAATAACCCGCAGAAATGTTACAGCCGAAAATGATGGTCTAGCAAAATGAAATAAATGATGAAACAGAAGAATATCCCCACATTCCTAAACATGCAACAGTACAAATTATCGGCGAACCCTTACTGATATCGACGACCGGATTTACATCAGCAAGCGAACAAAACCTACACCCCGTCGTCCCAGCAGACCAGCCAAACGCCACCAGCGCGGGAGAGAGCCGTTGAGAGGGAGCCGTCCCGGACCGCGTGGCCGTGCCATACTAACGGCGAAGCGGATGAGCGTCGCACGGCCGCAACACAGGCACACGACAGACGACAGGTAACACGACAGGAAGGCAACGGCAAACAGCGGGACTGCTGGGCACAACAGAGGCCCTCAGTTACACGCCACTCAGGCATCGCCATCATACGCCACTTCCTGCCACAACAGTCCTGCCCTACAACGGTTCGTTAGTGTTCGCCAAACGGCGAACCTCAATGTTTGTCTCCTAACGTCGGACCGCGCTTAAACGCCAATAGCGTCAAGTCGGCAGCGCTAACTGAAAATAGAAAATAGTTAAAACTAGATGGAAAAAAATAGTGTACCATTGATGTATTTACTATTTACACATATTTGTCAACGTTGGCGTATATCGACGAAGATCAGACGATCTAGCACCTAGAATAGCACAGTTCTGGGATAAACTTAGCTGCAAGACTTAAGCCACGCTCAGGGCCGTGGTAACCTAAAACCGTAAAGCACTGGTTCGGACAACTGCCGCTACAGCCGCTGTTGCACTGTAGCCGCAGCTGTGCTCCACACCGCCGGCGCACACCACTTACAGCCGCTGTTGAGCTCCACACCGCTGGCACGCATCACTTACAGCTGCTGTTGAGCTCCACACTGCCAGCGCATATCACTTACTGTTGCTGTTAAGCTCCACACCACCAGCACATATCACTTACTGTTGCTATTAAGCTCCACACCACCAGCACATATCACTTACTGTTGCTATTAAGCTCCACACCACCATTGCCATTCTTCACATCCACAGTCCAGGTAGCTGTCTTGCCGCCGGAGTTCTTTACAGAGAATGCGAACACTGCCTTCATCTGAGTACGCAGGACACATCGGCTGGGTCAGCGACCACTCACTGTGACATACTTTAATAAGTGTGATGCAAGCTCATACAATGTAAGCATATTTCAACAGAAAGATGACCAACCACTGTTTTGCATGATTTGCTTGGAATCAGGTGCATGTCTCATACCTCTTACTGTGAGGACCCTGACCCCACTAACCTAGTACAAAAATTTCACTCTTTCCCCACTTGGGCCAGTTGCCAGGTGGTTGACAATGGTTGCATCCATTTGACACCACAACCCAACAGAACACAGCTATGATTTTGGGATGCAATCACACATGCCTGACATGCAGCTAGCATATGGTGTAGCAGCAGCTGAGTTAGCATGGTCAGCCATAATAATGCTACCTGCTGAGAACCAGTCCTAAAACCAAGACTACATGGATTGGTATTCAACTCAACTTGGAATGACCTGGAGTTCACCAGTAGGCAGCCAAGTCATTAATAAGTGTATGTCCAAACCAAAGTTATATTATATTGGTCAAATCAGCAATTAAATTCTTTAATAGCACCCTACCAAGTGATCAATGCCCATATTACTCATAGTGTTTTAACACATTTGACAGTTTAAAGCATGTGAACATAAATCTCAGATGAACAGCAGTCATGTTGAAGCAGCAGATGAACAAAATATGAAGGAAAACTTACAGAAAATGTATAACAAACTGGCCATGGTAACATACCTTCATGCATAATAGCAACAGTTTTTACCATTATCAACACTGTTCTCAATACAACAAGGCTCATTGCAAATTACAAAAACATTACCCTTCCATGCAATGTCAAGTAATAGGTCTTACCTTTTTCACTATATCTGCTCCATCTGTTTTTAGAACACTGTCCATCTGCTCAAATATCTCTGAAGATTTGAAGTCAGGGCTGAAATAAGAATGAGTTATTATCCCCACAATTGCAAACCCACAACATGTTTTCAAGGGATTCAGTCAATATAATCAGCAAATATAGTGGACATGAATACACTTTGATTTTCTTTTATTATCATTTTTGCCACCCATCTCTATAACAAGATCTTTCACTACTCTTACTGACAAGACCACAACCTCCTAATGCTGTTGACAACAGTTGTATTTACCTTGCTGCAACCATGATTATTGAATATGTGGTTTGTGTTAAAAATAATGCTTATGAAAATGTTAATGAAGAGGATTTCTTTGCCAAGCTGTAAAAAAGAAACATGGGTGTTAGTAAGCACAGCATATAGCACACTGTGATGCAGTGAATATTCATATACATATATAAGCCCTGGTATGACACAGATACCAATGATGAATATGCTCTAAACTGCCAAAATATCATCCAAGCCAGCATAGGAATGATTAAAGGGTATTTTCCTTAGGAAATGTACACAGGCACTGTGAACTCAATTCTTGACAATCTTGGACATTCTTGGAAATTATTGATAATCAGATCAAAAGACACAAAGTCAATAACACCGTCACATTCATAAGACCACCAAAAAAGTATGACCCACCCAATACAATTATCTGTAAAGTAACTGATTAAGACATGAGCTGTGGGCATTCATGATGAGTTAAATGATACACATTTCCATTTCAGTACAAATCAAAGAGCCTCATGATCCAAAATACAGTCATTACCATCAACCATCTGTGGAGATACTGCTGAAGAAACAGCAAAAGTGTTCTTAGAGCATTCTGGAGGCAAACATTATTGCTACATGTCATTAATATACAATGTATATGCTTAAATGACACATTGCTAAGATGATCAAAGTTGCCATGAAATACTATCTTTCTGAATACTGAGTACTAAATAGTGATATTTAATAATACTGATACTAAGTACTGATACTACTGATAATAAGTACTAAATACTAAATACTGAGGTCAGCATTTACATGAAAGCATATCCACTGCATATGACAGAATGATGGCATATGCTTTATTGCCTTACAATCCTTCACCATAGCATGGCAACAATAGGGGTCAGGGAGTCAATATTTTCAGTGCCGAGAATGTATCATCCCCCCCCCCCCCCTGGCGCTGTAATACGAAAAGCCACATCAAGATAGAACGCTCGAGCCCCGGACACTAATCCCTACCAATTATGTACCCGTAAAAAAGATAGCCAAGATGCGCACGGAGGGGACGATGTGGGCGACAGTCGTTTTTCCAAATCACCCCGACCGCCGAAATCGACCCCGCACAGTCTCTGGAAACGACCCGTACTCTCGGCAACGCTCGTGACAGATAGGGTCAGGGTTCAAGGCCAGAAACGCAACATTCTTTGAGAGACCACAGGCATGTTTTTCTATTCTATGACGTCATCGATACCCGATTCTATCCTCTTCAGAACTCATGAGGACTCAGAAAGCGCTCTGTTTGGATCTAAGATCAGAGGAAACTTATCTTGTGGTGACAGGCGGATTGCTATAATTGAGTGAGTGCCTAATGAAGGGATCACCTGGACACGTGCGATGTTCATCTTAGGTGTCAGTCTTATTAGGTTTGCGTGACGGATTGCGAGTTTCCAGTCCATGCCTTTGTAAAAACTCCGAGAATAATTAAGTGGACAGGGCCAGGCCAAATGGAATAGGCTGCATGTACATGTCTTAACGTTAGTGTCTTGTCCCACAGGCCGCCGTCGCCGATGCCGGCATTTCGTCTCCGGAACGTGTGGCGTCACGAAATTGGTTAAAATGTCCTTTATTGGTTGAACCCAATGCCTCTTGTTTGGACCACAGACACATATTCAGCGCATGTGCGGCAATGTTTGGACAAGTGGCTAAAACGAGTTAGTTGGAGTGCGTAGTGCAACCTTAATAAATTTCGTGGTGCGTCGGTCAAGTTAATATCATATATCGTTCACCATGCTTTCTGAAATGCTTAAGGAGCATCAGGCAAAGCAGCAGACTCAAAAGCAAGCACAGGGTAAAGTAGCACAAGCCAGATGAGAGAGGTTTTGTTCTCTGCGTTTCAAGTTTGATTTACAGTAACTGAGACATCATGTGTTTCACTGCAGTGCTCCGGGTGTCTCAGTTTAACGGAAATTTTGGGAAATCACTGTGTTTTTCATATTTTGTGTAGGTCAGTGCTAAACAATGCTCATGAATAAAGTTTTATCAATAAATATCATCACATTGGTTCTAAGAGCATTTGTTATAGTTCACATGACATTTGTGTAGCATATTCTTAAGTCTGATTTGTATGTTGCTAGAATCATTTCACAACACAGGAAACGGCAGGCTGAAGCAGTTCAGAGTGTGCATAAGTTAAGGAGGGCACATTCATTGGTAAATCAGGTGTGGTTCTCAAACCATGGAAATGCACTATGTCATGTTCCACAACATTTGTGCATTTCTCACTTTATGATGAGCACACATGAATTCCACCTTTTGTTCCACACTATCTGTTTTACCCATCTTGAATTCCCCCATGGCCAGCTGTAAGTAAACAAAACAAATTTGCTGAGCTGCTTACCTACCCTAGGATATTTTTCCATGTTAGATACCTACCTACCTACTTTGGATATTGGTGTCCTAAGATTAAAAAGAACCAATTGAAATATTAGATGAATAAGCAAAGTATCAGTAACCCTCCCCCCTCTTAAATATTTTTTTCTGGAATACTGTTTGAATGGAGTGGCATAGCAGCACCAAATTTTGTATGGCTGTAAACATTTGAATAGCAGATTGTTTGGTATCGAATTTAGATGTACCTTGTAAGGTCACTGACCTATGACTGGTCAAAGTCAGGCCATGGATTAGCAAAGATGGTTTCCAGGTGAACATTCAATCTGATGCAACAACTGATTGTTACATGAAGCCATGCATCTCTGAGGTAGTTTCTTTGGCAGTGCAACAATGGAATGAGCAATTTCCATTAACCTAGGACTGGGTATGAAGGTCAGATGTAGGTCAAAACCGACCAACTTTATTATTCTACAGCTTGCTGTGTGGCGTAGTTTCTGGTACTTTCATTTTTTCAAATTTATTGATGAATGGGAATCACATTATACATCATCCATGGACTTTTTGAAGGTCAGAATAGTTAACTGGCCTACAATGATGCAGGTAAACATTTTGCTTTTAGGAACACACTGCCTGGCATGACCTTGACTCTTACTCAAGTGCAAAGATCAAAGCAGTTCTGTATGAGTTTGGTCACCATGACCTCTGAAAGGTCAAATAAGGTCATCAGCCTTCATTGAGCATCAGTGATCTTTTGCTTAGAACAGACACCTAGGTTTTGGGGTATGTTTGGCCAATCTGGGCTTAGGCCTTGTTTGACCTTATTTGGCCCAAAGTTGATGACCTGGGAAACCCAAATTTTAGCACAAGTGAGTTCACATACAGGCCAACACACCATGTGACTTTGGTGCCTATAGCTCCCTTACTTTATGGTATCTCCATCTGTCCTGGTAGCTCAGTTGGTTAGAGCGCCTGGCTTCCAATCCACCCTCCCGTGGCAGGGTGGGTTCGAGTCGCTTTAGGGCTCTCGCTATTTGCCCTTGACAGGCACGGCCTGCGGCTGACGCCAGCGGTCGCGCTAAAGGTTAGTTGACGTCAGACGGCAGGACGGACCGTGCCGAGCATTGTGGTACGTTAAGCTTTTGTCACTAAATTCTGCCGTTGCCTGGAATTGCGCGATCGGATGGTGGGGTTCAGGGCTCACACGACAAGCACTGCTTAGCGTGAGCCCTGGTCCCGGAAATTCATCCTTTTAAAGGGTTCCGATCATTTTTACAAAATCTCAGGCCGGTCCAATTGATCCTCACCCGAACAAAGGGCATTCAAATGGACACCCAGGCGCGTGATAAGATGCCGTACAAAGACGGTGGAACAGAAGACATTGGACGCATTTGACAGTTAGGCATGGAGGAGATCGCCAAATCTGCGTACAAAAAAGGCATGTGCATTTGGCAACTTTTCAGGGTGGACCTTTTTGCATTTCTGTTATATCGCGCTATTGGTTGGTGGTATATACGTGGATTATATACTGTGGAATGTGTCACATTGAAGGGAATCACTCTATACCGTTTTTTACCTTGGCATAGGAGCCTCACAGAAATTCAGCAAAGGTTTTTTATGTTTTGTATTTTGTAACAACAGCATGACTTCCTCAAAGTGAGAAAAGCGTAAATACACTGGATGCTGCCAGAAAAAGCATAAATTCGCGAACGTATGCAATGACGAGTACAAGTGCAGACACATGCTGTATTATTAATGTTAAGGGAGTGTATTTTAGGGCAGGTGAGGGTAATCACAAATATATTTACAAAGTTCATAATGCGAAGCAGCAACTAAAATTTGCCATGCCTTTCGTTGTAGAATGGCCGGAATTTGATGACTTGGAGTAACAGGAAGTTTTGGCAACTTATAGTAACAGTTGGGGTAGCAAACACCCGAGATATGACCCGACTTTAAAGTGGGCGGTGTTTGCAGTTCCTTTTGGAGCATCGTAGACAGCATTCCACCTACCGATCCTTAAAGGATCAGGGAAGTGGGAGGCTGTGGCTGGACGGCAGTGAGGTCTGTGGTAGTGCCAGACGGTGGCGGAGAAGTGGTAGACTATGGCTAGACGACAGCGAGCGCTCCGGTGTTGCCAAATGGTGGTGTGAAGCGGGAGGCTGCGCCTGGACGGCGTCGAGAAAATAGTGCAAATGCAAACATGTCTTTTTTTATGAATCGATTCGGCGGAGGGAAAGAAGAACTTCGGCGGAAGAAAAGAACTGCGAAAATCCCAAAATGGAAAAAATTGCACCTGCGCTTTGTTTTCTTCGCACGGTAGGAATGCTTACGGGTCTCGCATGTGTTCATTCCGTACCGGGATATTTGTGGTTTCCTCACTGTGACATTTACATTGATAAGTCCCACTGAACACTGAAAAGCATCAGCAACTCCACGGCCACAAAAGAAGACAAATGGCTCCGTTTAAAAAAGACAGAGATGACTAGCAGGGCAGCCTGAGCATGCGTCCTGACGTGCTTTGCACTGCAGGACAGCTTCAGCTAATCGTGACTAGGTGTATTCGCTGGCTGCTGAATGGCCATGTAGTCAATGCGATGTAAAACCACACGATGGGGTGGGAAGACAGGAACGTGTCCCTACTGGCTTCTAGTGCTCCTTAGATTCCAGCATTGCATCTTATTTTCTCCCTAAATTCCAGCATTGCATCTTATTTGGCAAGGAAGGTGTGATTGTCTGGTATTGAAAGAGTGGTGGAGTGGTCAGAGTTGTAGTTATCAGTTTGTTTGATGCTATCGCAGGCTAAGTTGTGGACCGATTTCAAAAATTTTGTTCTAAAGATCAGGGGTGCTGACTGCTGGGCCCCCTGCTGTCATTTCCCACCACCACGGCTACTGCTGCCAACTTCCCATTGCCCACTGCTGCCCATTTCCCACTACCACTGCTACTGCTGCCAACTTCCCACTGCCCACTGCTGCCCATTTCCCACTACCACTGCTACAGCTGCCAACTTCCCACTGCCCACTGCTGCCCATTTCCCACTACCACTGCTACTGCTGCCAACTTCCCACTGCCCACTGCTGCCCATTTCCCACTACCACTGCTACTGCTGCCAACTTCCCACTGCCCACTGCTGCCCATTTCCCACTACCGCTGCTACGGCTGCCAACTTCCCATTGCCCACTGCTGCCCGCTGCTGACTCTGGCACTCTTTTTATTTTCCATGGTTCGTTGCCAAGAGAGATTTGGATAGTTGTGTATGCTGTTGCATTATGATGCGACGCAACTTTATAGTTCGTTGGATTATCATGCGGTTCATCATGGACAGGATTTTTATTTCAGAAATTCGACGCAAGGAAGCGATAGCAGCATCAAATGAGTTGACGGCAGCTTTGGTGGACCACCTCAATGTGGGGTAAGTGGTTTTGAAGTAGCAGGCGACTAATTGGTGAAATCGAGTAAAAGACAACTGAAGGTAGCTTCTTGTAACGTCTTAGCTTAAGCTAGGCTGTGTTTGATTTTGCTTTTTCCCGACATGACCGTATTTCATGAACCATGGCCTCAAGCCACAAAGCGTGGGCGAGCTACGCAGCGGAGTCGTTCGAGTTAGTACGGTTCGGACAGCACGAGATGCAACTTAAACGTTCGATTCATACGAACTAACAGCTGCTGTTTGCCCCAACGTCGAAGGAAGTGTGTCACTGTCACCGTCCAGCCCGGAGCACATGTTTACACTGAAATCACAGGTCACGTGCTCTGGACGCACGACACACACCAGCTGTGGCCACCCAGCAACGGATTCACTTTTGGACCCACCGTAGCAGGATGTGGGAGTTTATGTAATTGTCACCCAGTATGGCGTTATCTAAGGCGTGGAGACTAGAGGTGGACCAAGTTGAATGTCGTCCAAACGTGAAGAAACCTCTTCCACTCACCAGTTAACCTTCCGTGATTCCCAGTCAGCTGTTGAAACACCGTCTTTTATCATGCCTTCAGCGTGGCCCAGGCGTACCTGAACCAGAAGCGGCTGGACGCGGAGGCTAAGCAGCTGTACCAGAACGCGTCGGCCTTCTCCAAGCAGAGCCAGCAGTGGCTGCAGCTGATGGAGGGCTTCAATACGGCGCTGAAGGAGCTGGGCGATGTCGAGAACTGGGCGCGCACCATCGAAGCCGACATGCGCATCGTCTCCGACGCCCTGGAGCTCAGCTACAAAGGTGACGGCGGCTGGGTGCACGCGTCCGATGGTCGTCGGCTGCGATCGAGTGCGGGTGTTTTGAGGTTGGGTTCGTGTGGGTTGCGTCGGCGCGTGGAGAAATAACGATTTTCGGGTATGTATTTCATCTACGTTCAGCTCACACGTTCTTTGAATATTTGGTTAACATGTGAATATAGGTCGGACGAATATTGCGAAACGACGCAAGAGTATTCGTCACTTGCCATCGAATGTGGCAGCCGGTCGGTGCAAGTCCGGCGTGGTAACCTATGATTGAATGAGGGCGACATGTTCGTGTGACAACAGCTGCCACCCTCTGACCCGAGATCGGCTGCTTCCAGCCCACCGGGAAACGACGTAGCCGAGCCCCAGTGAGCCGCGCGACCCTGCGACAAGCTGTGCCATCGATGCCGGTCTGTCCACTGGGTGGACCGTGGGGAGCCGCCTCTCCCGCGGTCAGCACAGCTGTGTAGGCATGAACTCAGAAGACGCGCGCCGCCGCGGTGATCAGGCCTCCGGCCCGCTGACGCCGGTGCCTCCGTCATTCCGGGCCGTGCCGTGTGGTCTGCTTCTAATGACAATGTCCGGAATCATACACTAAACACCTTGACTTCGGGGTGCTTATTCAGGCTTTTGTGATATTATTTTATCCTATTTCGTGTTTGTGCGCTTTTATAAGTCTCAAGTCAGAGTGTTTTCTGTATGATCGAGCATGATTGGGCCCGGAGAAAGGTTAGAACTAATAAGAGAAAAATATCCTGCGTTGATGGAACGCTGATCCGTGTGGGGATTTGTCAGTCCACGATAGCGCGAAGTTGCATGCACTGCAGTATACGCTATATGAATACATTGTTCTGATGTGTGGATGTGGCACGTCTGGACCCATTACGAGGTATTGTAGCAGGGCAGTACCCTGCACGGCTACAGAAACAGCAATCTGCAAACCAATCATCCAAAAGCCGTCCCTCATTCTGCCGTACGCGATTGACGGCTCTGCAGCGACGGACGCTAGTTCATTCGCTTGATAACATTTTGATGGTTAAAAATTTCAGATCACCCAGTAGCTTTTTGGTGTCATGAAGATCCCCGTCCTTTGGACATGAATTTGGCCTGCAAAGGTGACCTTGAGGGTACATGACTTTCACGGACGCTTTTTTATGCGCTTGGGGATACTCTGATGCTTGAAAAGGTCAAATCGCCCGGTAATGGTTTGGTGATATTCGGTTCTCCGTCATTCGAACCTTAGTTCCATATTGGAGGGCGGCCTTGAGATGGCAGGACTTCTCGGCGGACGCTAGTGTGCGCGCGAGCAAATATTGCCGACGCCTGGAAAAGTTGCGATCGGTCGGGATATGTTTTGGTGGTGGGAAGTTCCTTGTCATCGGAGTCTTAATTTGACTCTGAAGGATAACCTGGAGAGGCCAGGACGTCTTGACGGACGCTGGTTCCTTCTGTGGTGATGATCCTGACGCTTGAAAATTTGAAATTTGCGGGTCATTTTTGATGACATGAAGCTCCTTGTCCTTTTGGTCTTATTTTTACCTTGAATGTCACGTGATATCGCAAAATAAGTCACTTTCATTTCAAAGTGTCATAGCTGACCATCTGACGTGTTTTCAGAGAAATCAGAGCCCGCCGCCGAAAAAGTCGCCGAGGAAATGGCTAACTTTACAGACATTTGCCGCCGACTGCTGCACCACCCCAGCTGTGCACCAGCAACGACTTCTAGCATTGCTGTCGACTACGCCGCCTCCTGACTTCTTGCAAAGTTTCGCGGCGGGCTGGGCGGCCGCGAGCTGGCGGGTGCTCACCTCGGTGCAGTGCTCACTGATTGCCGCCAGTGAATCGCCCGGGCGCGGTGTGCTGCTTCAGGCTGGTGAGCAGGCTGTACTCCCCGCGAACCGCGAGGTAAACCGGTACGTCCGCGGCGAGGACGCACCGATTTAAAGCTAGCCTCGCATTTGCAGCCCTTCCATTTCACGAAAAATTACTCCTAGATGCACGCGGAGCCGCTCACATTTTTTATTCAATTTTAAAAGTCACCGTAACGGCAGCTGCCCATGCAGCAGCCTGCTAGGCCCTCTCCATTTTCACAAAACCTGTGGATCGCAACTGCTGGAAGTGCACGCGCCAATATCCACCACGATTTCGACACGCCTGACCAGCCGCACCGCCAAAGCTCCATCGCAAACAACGCGAGCGGCACGCCACCATCGCACATGGTACCTGGACGTACCACTGGGACCGAATGTCTCTCGCGGTAAACGTAGTACACGACAACAGGTCAAAAAGCAATTCGTTTCATTCGCAAAGCATGGGGTAGTCAATTTAATACCCATTTAGGCACGGGTCGAACGACCACACTGTTGGAAAACTCGGGACTGAAAATGACATCGCCAAAACAAATACAAAAACGACGATCACCCAGCAAGCACTCGTGAACACCTACTCCGCCAGTTTGCACATACCGAGTTCAAATTGTAAGAAAATGAGTCTTCAAACCACAACCAAACACTCGTTTATTCACTTGCCAAGTTCTCGTTCAATGCTCTTAATATCGTCTATAAGCGTCTGCTTCCGTAATATTTTCGCTTTCTGTTCGGGATCGGGAGTCACCTGGCCCGATTTCACTTTTTCGGCCAGCTGCACTACGTCCTTGAGCTTCTTTTTCAGGTTCTTCAGCTTACTCCTGAGTTCGGCCGCCTCGGCCTCGGGCAGCGGCAGCTCTGGCGCGGCGGCGATGCTCGCCTTGGACAGCTGCTCCACCAGGCTCTCGTCTATGACGGGCGCCGGCGGCTCCTTCTTTTCGGGCTTCTTCTTCGACTTGGACTTCTTCGCCGACTTAGCCGGGGCTGTCAGCGGGAGGGTTAGCGCAAGGCGGGGTAAGAACGTCGCGAGCGACAACACTTTCGGCGTTCCACTTGTGGAACAGGTTTGGAATCCAGTCACATCACGCCCACCATTTAGCCAACATCCGACAAGTCTCCTAACAAACCCAATCAACCCCTATCCAACGGAACCAGTCCCCTCCCCGGCACAGCCTCGCTCCGCGTTCCGCCCGGCTCCGGGAGACCGCTCCGACGGTACCGGAGCACGCACCACCAGACGCACCACCAGCTGACAGTGAGCCCGACCCGCACCCCAGTGCCTTACCTGCGAGGCCGGGGATGACTGCGTCCCCGGCGGCGCTGGGGAACCGGTCGGCCCGCTCTGCCGCCTCCCGGCCGGCCCTGTGGCGCGCCACGTCGTCCGGCGCCAGGCCGATCGGATGGTCCACGCGGCCTCTGTTGAACTGCCGGCCCTTGCTCTCGTATCTGGCCGAGAAACGCGACAGGGCACCATGTCAAAGAGTTGGTAACGTGCTCGTTTCGACGGGTTTGTAATGTCTTGGCAGGCACGAGGAACACCTGGAGCGACCGACGTAGGCACTGCCGTCACCTGCGCGCTCCCGTCGCCGTAGCACGCCAGGCCCATGATGCGAGCTTGGAGTGCGAGCTTGGTGTATATGGGCTGACCTCATACAGGGGTACATTTGATATGGGTATCTTTGGGTAAGTGCCACATGCAAGCAAATGTAAATCTGGATGGGAAGCAGTGCATGCAAAAGTGGTGCAGGTGCAATGATGTTGAAACAACTGATACCATGCTTTTCAGATGAATGGGTGAATGACAAAAAAACATGGAAGAACATGGATGACCATCATGGAAGGAGCTCTATAAGCCATGTCTGCCTTTACATGGATGTACAAATCAGTTTGAATCATGAAAGCATAGTGCTGCAATGTTGCAAAGCATTCATTCACCTTCAACTCTGATTGATACCCCCATGACCAGCCTCACAATAGATGGTTGTGCTTGGATAGTATACATCTTGTCAGTCAGCTTCACAAAGCATGAATCAATTTGAAGCAATGACCAGATTATCACCATAAGACTCTGACAAATTTTTAGATGTCAATGAAAAGCATCTTCATTTTCAACAATTTATCAAGATAAGGTGGTCAGCAACCAAGAAAGACAGAGTAGGAACTACTATAAATGCTAAACAAATTACTACATGTTATGTAAAACCTTTTATCAATATAACAAAGACCCAACATCTAAGAAGACATCACCTGCACATTAGTCATACTTACAGAGGCATTTCATCCTGGGGGACATAACCTTCTTTTACCCTTATAGGTTTTCGAAATGTTCCATCGGGACGTCTTGATCCTGGTATGAACACGTCTCCTGGAAAAATAGTGTTATTTATGAGTAACAACTCTTGGATACAGGACAATACCAATACAGGGTAGACAAAATCAATAAGCAGTGATGGGGATACCCTACATAAGCCAATACACCACACTGTCAGAAGCTTAACCCATTTTAAAGAAACTTTTATGCAAAAATTTATGTTGCAGTAACAAAATTTAGCCAGAAAATTTAGCTGTGGATGTAGTAAATCTGTGTGCCTGATATTCAGCAGTGTTATCTAGCAAGGTTTCAAAGAATCAGAATGTTAAAATGGTAGTTTGCAAATTTTAATAACCAATCCTCACCGCATACTTCAAAATTCAGTGCAATCTAGCATGATCCATGTTTGGCACAAGCATGTGCCATGTTTAACTGACTGATGTCACCAAAGTCTAAGGCATATTTTCAATTACTGAACCAGTCTCTTTCTAAAATACCTGTTAGCAGCAGTTCAAGAGCTACATATGGCAAAGGTCATGTGACTACATGTCCATGATCAGAATGTTCGGCAAGCTATGTGCTTTTAGGGTAGGCGATATCCCCATCAAACTTACTTAATTTCAACCTATGCGGATACCTTAGTCATGATATTGCGAAATCTGTGTACAATTCTGACGTGAGATAATCCGCTAATTAGGATATATGGTAAATCATAAGGTAGTATTTTCGAAAAAATATGAATGCGTCTATTTCGCCTCCAGACTATTTGAGATCCTGGGAAGTCACATCAATTGCGCATACATTGTGAAACTGACTACTACAGACGGACATTAATGAACATGAATGTGGTGCATTGCATCGGCACCTACATTGCATCATGAAAGACATAACATACCATTTTCGTCCCTAATGTACTGCTGCTGCGACATTTTGCGAGATGGGCTGTTCGGGGTGCAGCTTCCAGCGCATGCTTTTACTACAGCTGATTTAAATTCGCTGAAAGCCCGATTGTCCTATTCGTTAGCTACTGGCTGACAATATGATTGGTTCTGGAAAGAATATAAATCCCATTCGAACATGCTGCTAGCTGCCTTGAATGAGTGGAGCCCTGCAACTCTGTTCAATGGCCTTGGCTGCAACTTACGACAGGGCATTGACCCACAACAGACGTCAATGCGACAGAGATGATGAAGTTCATTTTCTTAGTTAAAAAAGGGCCAAGAGGCTGGGTGGTATAAAGAATTGCGCCTTTCAGCCTGAGGGGTGACCGAAATATTACCCTTGCATCTTCCATTTCGACTGTTCGGCATTTTGATCTGACATCTTTTGGTTTCGACTTTTTGTGGTAATGTTAACTATTTTCTGGATGTAGTCAGGACATCAATTCTTCCGCATGAAGAGCCGTACACACACACACACACACACACACACACACACACATATATATATATATATATATATATATATATATATATATATATATACATATAAAATAAACATATGGCATACATCTTTGAAGGTAGGTTATCGAATGCAATGCGAGCTACCGGCCAGTTTTCTGAATTACCATCACATAGCAGTACTTTATCATCATTTCGAACGCTTGAAGCGCGCCACTTGCGGCGATATGCTGCGAGGGCTTGCAAAGCCGGTGGCGGTGTTTTGTGTATATGTTTTGAGTGTTGTTGCGGTGGCTGCTACAATGATCAGACCTTGATTTCCGTCACGTTTTAGAATTAAATGAGTGTAACTGACAATTTGTTAGCTGTCAATAACCGACGAAGGAAGTTTGCTTAATTACAACTCGCTCTCGACGGTGGGTATTGGTGGTACGTCGTGTACTGTGCAGTATTGTGAGGCGTGGGCGTATTAGAGTCGCGAATTTCTTGCCAACAATTTCCATGGGTGTTTTTAGAGGAATGAGATGCAAGTGAAAATCAGGTAAGACCCATGTAAATAATAGGATGAAAAACCCAGGAAATCAAGCGATTAAGTGATAACCATATTTTTGTCATTCACTACACCTATGTTCCTTCTACATGTTATTTTGGATCAACTCTACTTTTACAGCAATTGTTGTTAGGCACTTGGTATTTTACTATCCTACACTCTTCTTGATGACCATCAGGTCCTGACCTCAAAAGGAATGTGTAGCATCAGACATGTCAGGCATGGAAGGGATGTCATGGCAATATTTCAATACATGCATCATAAACCCAAGTGCTCAATGTCTGGCTCAGTAACCACAAACCATAGTGCATAGGAAGCTGATATTTCAAAGATTTGTAATATTTCAAAGGAAATTTAATGGAAAAGTACTCAGAAAATGTAGTTTAGAAGTTTGGCATAATTTGTTATTGCATGAGTTTGACGTACTCAAGCCTGAGGTTCAGCAAATAAAATTTAGAAAAGCATTTGACACAGTGGATGTATTTTTTCTGGTTGATGTCTGTAGAGCTAATGGTATAATTTCAGAATGTTGAGGTGGGTACTCATAGTGCCCTATTTCCTGCAACATTAATTGTATGAGGTGTTTGGTAAATACATGTATGCACCAGTTTGAGTGACATCATTTATGTCTGCAATGTCACTTCCATTTCAGGTATTTTTTAGCATAATTTGCCTTTTCCATTGTGTGCTAACAACCACATGCTATGAATATGTGGCTGTCAGCACACATTCAACAAATGTGTTTACTCATGGCTTTAATGTTTGAGATGTACTTGCATAATTGAAGGCTTACAGAATTGTTTGATACTTAGTAACAAATAGTCTGATGAGTCTAGACTTTCTGCACCAAATCAGTACCAAGTTTGCAAGAACAGGATGATTCTTACAACAATGCAAGCAATAACAATTGCAGGATGCGGTTTCATGTGCTCTATTTTGTTGCCTAAGCATTCCCTGTTTGCTCGTGCCTGTTCAAAAAATTGGATGATTTGTTGTCATTGAGCAGGTGCACACACAAATACATATGTATATATGTATATATATGCATGTGTTTATATAGCTTTATATATATATATATATATATATATATATATTATATATATATATACAACAAAAGCAAATTTTCCAGATCAGTTTTTGGTCCCAATATTGTGCAGGGTTTGTGGGCAAATCTCATCTCAAACATGACTAACAAGTCCACTGGTCCAGAAGACCAATTTTGACATTGCCATTTGCCTTGTGTTTGCATGTGGAGAAACTGGTGCCAGGGGTGTTATGCTTTTCCAGCTCATGCTGGCCAAGTGCCAAAGCTTGAGTTCTTGTGTTGCAGCCAGGGACGCGCCATGGGCCGGCAGCGCAAGAGCAGCGCGGTCGGCGACGCGCCGCCTCCGGCCGAAGATGAGCCGATGGAGGTGGAGGAGCCAGATGAGGAGGATGAGGAGGGTCGGCATCAGGATCGGCGACATCTACCTGCCACCGCCGCCACCGCCGGCCTGCACGTTCGAGAGCAATGGGCCCCGGCTCATCATCACCCACATAGAGAATGAGAACTTCAAGAGCTATCTGGGCAAAAAGGTCCTGGGGCCCTTTCACAAGGTCAGTAACATGATCAGTGTTGAAGCGTTGGCTGAGTGTTTTGCTTAGGCATGTGGAGTACAAATGAAAACATTTCTGAGTGTGATCCTCTTGGGAACATCAAAGTGCAGTAGCAGAATACTAAGCCAACAAAGCCAGGGCGTGGGCCCAAGACGTACGGACCACCATGTTTCGGTGTCTGACACTACGGTCCGCACCGGTAATTGCAATGCTAATTGCATGAGCAGTAAACTGCAGATTATTTGCCAGGTCTTGGTGAACAGACTTGGTAGACATACCTACCAGGAGTTTGTATAACTTGCCCTTCAGCTAGCTATTACCAGCTTGTAAACATGCACACTATTATATGACCCATGAATACATTCAGCCGCTTATTTACCTGTGTCCGTCCCTCACATTCCGCTGTGCGCGCCCTCTGCAGAGCTTCACGTCCATTGTCGGCCCCAACGGCAGCGGAAAGAGCAACGTCATCGACTCAATGCTCTTCGTGTTCGGCTATCGCGCACAGAAGATCAGGTAAGCCGCTGGCGGCTGATCTGCACTGAAACAGCGCTGCCATAGGCTGAGGCCGCGTTTGAAGCGGACACGCGTGTCACGTGCAAGCAGCGCTGACAGCGTGTCCGTGCTCTGTGCACGTGCCGGCGCACAGCTCGCTGCGGTGTGATGCTGCTGAGGTCGTCTCCCCTTGCCGTCTGGCTCATCAGTGGGCGCGGTAGTTGTGCGTGAGCCGCGCCGCAGCATAAGGGCGATGTTCTCTGGTTTAATTGGTTGTCAGCGTGTGACGGGTTGCGAAATACGCGGAGTCTGCAATGCTGTGTTGCATGGCTTGGATACGAGGTCCGATGGTGTGAAACCAGCTTCATGCCTTATAGCCGGGGTCGTGTCCCGGTGATTGATGAAAACTCAAGTTACGTTTTGTTTTCTCTCCCGCAGATCGAAGAAGATTTCCGTCCTGATTCACAATTCAGATAACAACGAGAATATTCAGAGCTGCATGGTGGCCGTTCACTTTCAGAAAATCATTGACAAGGTACGTGTGATACAAGGGTGTTTCTGTGCTTAGGGCGTGTGCGCAAATCTAGGCATTATGAGTTTCCCAAGACCAAGGGATAAATGAAGTCACGGCTCTATTTCTAGCTTGCTTTCCCTCACAAGAACCGCCCTGGGCGATACTTTGGTGGCGAGCATTCTTGCTCATCCGCTCCTCCCCTTTCTCAGGGAGACGAGGACTTCGAGGTGGTGCCGAACACGCAGCTGGTGGTGGCGCGCACCGCCTTCAAGGATAACTCTTCCTTCTACACTGTCAATGGCAAGCGCACCCAGTTCAAGGCTGTGGCGCGGCTGCTGCGCGCGCACGGCATCGACCTGGACCACAACCGCTTCCTCATTCTCCAGGTTAGCGCTCTCAGTGCGGACTGGGCTCCGTCCTGAGAGAATGGTTGCCCCCCCCCCCCCCCCCCGTTGGGGGTCTATGAACGTGTCGACTGTTTTCCTCTCAATTGTTGGCTACGTTGTCAGTGATGAAGTTTTTGACTGTTAGCGCGGCAAAGAATTCATATAGTGCCATTTTGCCACTATGATATCCATGCATATGATACATACATGTGATTTCCTTTTCGAATTCACTCGTACTTTGTCTGCGCGAGAGTTCGCGCTTTCCCGCTCTACTTCAAGTATCCGGGATCGTCTACCCTCAGGGTGAGGTGGAGCAGATCTCACTGATGAAGCCGAAGGCGCTTACCGAGCATGAGACGGGCATGCTGGAGTACCTGGAGGATATCGTGGGCTCATCGCGTTACAAGGTACACCCATGAATTATTGTAAGGCAGATTCGCGAACCGGTGCTAGTAGAACGCCGCAGCTTGAGTTACTAGCTGTCTGTTGTGGTACTTTCCAAGCATTTGTTGTGAGGTGTCGAGTTTCTACTGGCATTAGGTGAGTACTTCGGCCAGGTTGCGAAATTAGTTGGCTCGCCCAAACTGCAATGCAAAAAACACCATATTTATAAGCTGAACAACAACTTTCAGGGGCCATTGATCATCCCTCTGAAACCTGCTGAATAACGAGCCTCCATCAGCGTAATGCACCTGTCACTGATGTTACCATCGTCCGTGATTATTATATGTCAGTATCTTCAGTCTGTTGACTGTCGTATGCCACTACGATGCCGTTGGTGGGCTCTATCCGTTCCGCGCCGTATGTCAGCGAACCAGTGTCATGTGTCGGCGCTTTACGTCAGTGACTCAGCACTGTGTGCAAGCTTTCCACGTCGGTACTGTGTGTCGGTGCGTGTCGCTGCCGCGTGAGCTCCCGGCAATGTGCTGCCACACGTCGTCAGTTCCCCGTCTCCGCTCCGTCACGCGTCATCAGTTCTCTGTCTCCTCGCGGCCACACGTCATCAGTTCCCCGTCTCCGCGCCGTCACGTGTCATCAGTTCCCTGTCTCCACACCATCATGTACCATCAGTTTCCTCTCCCATGCCATCACGTGTCACCAGTTCCCAGTCTCCACGCCATCACGTGTCATCAGTTCCCCGTCCCCACGTCATTGCGTGTCGTCAGTTCCCCCTGTCCCTTTGTCATCACGTGTCATCAGTTCTCCGTGTCCATGTCATCACGTGCCATCAGTTGTCAGTCTGCGCCATCACGTGCCATCAGTTCCCCGTCTCCACGCCATCACACGTCGACGCGCCCACAGGAGCCGATCGAGCTGCTCAACCAGCGGGTGGACCAGCTGAACGAGCAGCGGGCCGAGAAGCTGAACCGCGTCAAGCTGGTGGAGAAGGAAAAGGACGAGCTGGCCGGCCCCAAGGACGAGGCCCTGGCCTACATCCGGCTGGAGAACCAGGTGGCCTGCAGCAGGAACACGCTGCTGCAGAAGCACATGTGAGCGCGCTGACCGGGGCCCTCCCGCGGGGTGACTAGCAACAGCGGGGGAGGGCCCGACAGGTGGTTGGGAGATAGCATTTGTGTGCGTGACCTGTTTCCAACGATTGCATGCCTCACGGGTGATGACAAAGTGCGCTGCACATATATGGCCCACCAGTCGAATGCTTCCCCAACGTTAACATGCTGCGCTGGTGATATAAAAGTGAACTGCACACAGCTGGTCGCTGGGCTCGTTTCTGGACCTTCACCAGCCAGCCGTAAGTCAGGCATGACGGTGCTAGAACGTAATAGGAATGGGTCGCGGGAACGCTGCCAGCTGTGTGCTCTTCGTCCGCTGCGAGTGGCGTGGTGGACGGCGTTGTTAATAACCCAGGCTGTCACAGGCGCGTGAAAATTACATCAAGCTGATAAGCTGCGCAGTGTTATCCCAACTGAGAGATACAGCTCCTCGTAGACGGGGCTGGAGATCACGGTACCCTTGCCTGAGTTGCAACACGTCAAGGCCGTCGGACGACCCTCGATCGTGAGTGCGCTCTCGTGCAGACGTTAACGACGCGCTCCCGAGGCGCCCGGCGCCCCATCCTGGCATCGCGCTGACAGTCGCGGTTTGACAGCTTCGAGTGCGCCAAGAACGTGGAGAAGGCGCAGGCCAAGCGGCAGGAGATCGATGACGGCATGTCCGACATCAAGAAGCAGCTGGCCGAGCTGGCCGAGCAGCGGCAGGCGAAGGAGGGCGAGATGAAGGAGCTGGGCAAGTGAGTGGCGGTGGCGGGATGTGGCTCAGCCGTCCAGATACTACTGGTGGGATGTGATGGCGGGACTGCGGTGGGACATAATGTTGGGACTATGGTGGGACTGCATTGGGACATAATGGCGAGGCTGGTAGGACATGATCATGGGACATAACGGTGCAACTGAGGTGGGATATGACGCTGGGACTGTGGCGGACTCGCGGTGTTTTTTGTGCGGACTCACTTACTGTAATGGAGCACCGCTCTCGCTGTTGCTGCCGTCCGCACTAACAGTGAGAGGTCACCATGTGGCCTGGCCTCTTCGCTGACCGTGACCCTCGCCGCCGGGCAGCAAACACGACGCGCTCAGTCAGGAGCATGAGGCCATGAACGAGAAGTTCAAGCGCCAGCAGACGGACGACATGCAGCTGGAGGAGAACCTCAAGCTCACTAAGGCCAAGATGAAGAAGCTGAAGACGGCGCTGAAGACCGACGCCGAAAAGGTACCACCGGAGCGGAACGTTCGCGGCTTGCTTTTAAATCGAACAGGTGTTTTGGAACAATCCGCTGTGGGGTGCCGGTAGTGTAGTGGTTAACGCGTGGTTAACGCGTCTGCGTTAACCACTGCGCGTCTGGGAAACCAGAGGTACGGGGTTCGATTTCCTGCGGTGCCCGCCGTCCCTGCCAGGGTGAGAGGCAGGCGACGCCATGTAGCCTCAGCAGCTGAGTGCGACGTAAAGCCCTGATGACGTGACACACGGGCAGTCCGTTGTGCCGCACGGCGACTGAAATCTAGCTGTCCTCTGACGTCACATCTCATTACCATAGGTTCTCCCGATGCGATACGAAAACATCCCGAGCTAACTGGGTAGCTTCAGCCAAAAGTCGCCCAGTCCATCGTTTTACCTGGCAGAAGCAGCAGCGTTCATACCGTCATCGCCGCCCGCCCGCCACTGGCTAGACCGTGTCAAGGGCGCGCCTCGCGGAATGGGATGTTCGCGTCCTGCGCTGACACCGGCCGGCCTCTCGTCCACAGCTGGCGGGCCTGGAGCGCGTGCCCGAGGAGAACCGGTCCCAGATTGAGACGCTCACCGAGCAGAAGGGCGCGCTGGCGGCCGAGCGCCAGACAGAGGACGAGAACTTCCAGCGCGTCATGGCCTCCATCAAGTCGGAGACGCAGCAGTACCAGGACGAGAAGGACCAGCTGGAGGCGGAGCTCGGCGGACTCAAGGAGACGGTCAACAAGACCAAGCAGACGGTGAGCGGCGGCCAGGGCGGCGCGCCGGCTACCGCTGTAGCTAGTTGGGAGGCTGAATCAGTGGCCGAATGGCAGCTGAATGGCTGAACGGTCGCATGCTGTGGGGATGGGGGGGGGGGGGGGGGAAGGGGCCTGGTGTCAGTTGGAGTGTGTGACGCGCGCTCAAACCATCAGATCTGATCTTCAGCCATGGTCACCGCCTGGTTGCAATGTCACCGTCGGTTGTGACGTCGGCGGCACCGCGGCGCCGTATTGTTGTTCGCTGCGGTCGGTTGCCATGGTCACGCCTGACTTAGCCCGACAGGTGGCAGGAGCTGTCTCGAGACTGGCGCGTGCTTGCCAGTAGGCGCTGCAGCCAGACATCTCGCGACGATGTATGTCTAACGTGTCTGGGCGGATACATAACGGGACGAGCTTGGATCGCGTCACCATCACCGTCGTAACCTGACCTGACCTGACCTGGCACGCCCGGCCAGATGGACGCGGCCAAGTACGAGCTGGACATGTACGTCGGCAACGAGCAGTCGGAGCAGGCCAAGCTGGTGCAGATGGAGACCGGCCTGGAGACGTCGCGGCAACAAGGCGCCGACAAGACTCGGTGAGCGCGCGCGCGCCGCGGCCTGTTGCCGAATCCGTGCTGTCGTCAGAGTCGCTGTGCAGCGCAGTTAGGGTCACTGGACGCTCACACTCGTCGGCAGATGGTCCACAGGTCAGCTGGTGCTCTGGCAGCATGTGGTGTGTTGTCTCCCATGTGAAGGCGGTGCTGTTGTGTCTGTGCTCGGCTGGTGGGTGATTTGGTGTGTGGTGGTGTGTATGGGCTGTGGAGGAGGTTTTCCCGGTGGCACGGCGTGCCGGGGCTGCCGGTAACTGATCTGTGATGGCCGGTGTTCGTCACGTCGGCCGCTCTCCCACCTGACCCTCGTACTGGCGCAGTGACCTGGGCGGGATCATCCCGCCTGGGACCTGGCGTGACCTGACCTTCGCGCGTGAGCTGGCTGGCTAGACTGCCACCTGACCTGACTAGCCTTCCTGCCTGATCTGCCCGACACGTGACAAGCACAGGCTTCACGTGTCTTCCTTCCGATTTGACATGAAATCTATCGATCTAACTGGCCGTCTCTGCTGACCTGGCCTGGCCTGACGTGACCCGCCGCCGCCGTCAATCGGCAGGGTGCTGAAGGAGCTGGAGCGGGAGATCCCGCGCGCCGAGCAGCAGCTGGAGACGGCGCGTGCCGAGCTGCAGGAGACGGCGCAGCAGCTGGCGGCTGCCGGTGAGCAGCTGCGCGCCGGCCGCGGCCGCCTGGAGGAGGTGCGCTCGGCGCTGCAGGCCGGCCGCGGCCGCGGCGCCGTCCTCACCGCCGTTATGGAGCAGAAGCGCAACGGCTCGCTGCCGGGGGTCTTCGGCAGACTGGTGAGCCCACCGCGACACCGCAGACAGCTGAGATTGGTTCGTCTTGCTAGATGGCCAGAGTAGTCGACGCGCCCTGAAGCCCAAATCAGCATTATCATCGGCTTTCGGTTTAGGCCATGGTGTTTGGAGTAGGCAACACTGGAGGCAGAGACGTAACCGAGGGCAGCTGGCTTTTCTCATGACTCGCCGCCGAAGGGCTACGTGAATATGCGTGTTTTGGAGAGGCGCTGGAGGTCGCACATGTTTGGGACTGCCAGATGTGGCCGGCGGTGTGAGGCGGGGATGCCATCTAAGGATGCTTTTCAGCGACGGGATATGGGAGTGAGACGAGGTCTCCAAACGCTGCTTAGCCCCTCTGATTGTAGGCTTTGCTCTGTAATCCTCCGACGGCCGGCGCGGTCTCGCGCCAGATGGCGTCTTGTTGTCGGTCGTGGAGACGGGCTGACCTGTTCTGACCGCACGTGTGCCCGGCGTCCCAGGGAGACCTCGGCGCCATCGACATGAAGTACGACGTGGCCATCTCGACGGCGTGCGGCCCGCTGGACAACATCGTGGTGGACTCGGTGGAGACGGCGCAGCAGTGCATCCAGTTCCTGAAGCGCAACAACATCGGCACGGCCACCTTCATCGCGCTCGACAAGATGGAGAAGTGGCGCCGCCACACGCAGACCAGCATAGAGACGTGAGTCGGCCGTGCCGGGTCGGGCCGGGCAGCGGCGGTCCGCATAGAGACGTGAGTCGGCCGGGCCGGGCCGGGCCGGGCAGCGGCGGTCCGCGTAGAGACGTGAGTCGGCCCGGGCCGGGCAGCGGCGGTCCGCGTAGGGACGTGAGTCAGGCCGGGGCCGGGCAGGCGGCGGTCCGCGTAGAGACGTGAGTCGGCCGGGCCGGGCAGCGGCGGTCCGCGTAGGGACGTGAGTCGGCCGGGCCGGGCAGCGGCTGGTCCGCGGAGCGCGCCGACTCCGGACGCCGTCAGCGGCCGAAGCCTCGGGACAGATTCCCGGCTTAGAGTTCGGTGTGGCGGCATCACCGGCGCTTATGCCGTGGGGCTGCGTGTCGCATATTACCTGTATCATCACGGACTGTTGCGCGAAGCGTAAGCGAACGCTTAAACTCCTGTTCTTGCTTTTGTTTCGAAGCGTCAGGATGATAACGTCTTCGCTGCAGCAAATTTTGCTTAAGGAGGCCTGACAGAAGTCCCATTAGATCAAACGTCAGTCACTGGCCAATTGGAAAACAGGCTGTCGCGCTGTACGGATTCCCCCCAGCGCCTTCACGTTCTCGCAAGCATCTCCGGGTTGGCCGTTGCAGAGCTTACCGCTTGTGAGCCACGCCCGGCGGGCCTGCGCCTGTCGTCCCTCCCTGACCTGCCCCTCCCCCTCCCTCCTCTCCCACCCACAGGCCGGAGGGCGTGCCGCGCCTCTTCGATCTGGTGCAGGTGCAGGACGACCGGGTGCGCACGGCCTTCTACTACGCCATGCGTGACACACTGGTGGCCGACGACCTGACGCAGGCCACGCGCATCGGCTACGGCCGCCAGCGGCACCGGGTCGTCACGCTGCGCGGCGACCTGATCGAGACGTCAGGTCAGCCTGGCAGAGGGGCGACGCTCGGGGGGGGGGGGGGGGGCTGACTGCACCCTCAGCAGGCGATGCGGCGCTCCAGCTCGCCGCAACGGTAATGTTTTCCACATGCCCCCTTGTGAGCGCGTGGGGTCCCCGATCCGTATGGCTAGGGACCTATTGGTCGTGACGCAACGTTCGACAGCACGGCGAACAGCGGCAGTCGGCGTCAAAGTTGCGGGGACGACGCTGTATATTTCGTGTTCGCGTTCAACGCTCGCCTGTCACCCTCAGCGCGAGCGTGCTGACGGGCTATATCATCGTACACCTGCCGCCGCGCTGACCGACTTCGGTTCCGCTGCTCTGACCTGGCCTCGCGGACGCTGGTCCGACCCGACCCTGACCTACGTGGCGGTGCCGGCGGCAGGCACGATGAGCGGCGGCGGCAAGAAGTCGCTGTGCGGCCGGATGGGCTCGCGGGTGGTGGCGGCCGAGGTGACCCAGGCGCAGGTGGAGCAGGCCGAGGCCGACCTCGGCGGCATCTCCCAGCGGTGCGCCGAGCTCAAGCGTAAGCACCAGCAGCTGGAGGAGGCCGTCGGGGCGCTGCGCAAGAAGCTGGACAAGATGCGCATGGACCAGCGGAAGCACGACATGGACGCCCGGGTTGGTTGGCGGCGCCGAGGCCCTCAGCGGCGGGAGGGGGGGGGATGATGTTTACGCGGGCCCGTCGGTAACATATGAAGGCAGCTGGAAAACATTCATCGATGCCGTGCCGGAAAATTCCTTGGTGTCATGCCGAAAAGCGTTCGTCATGCTGCTGCCTAAGCTTCGGTTGTCACGAACTGCTTGGCGAAAATAGAAAACGGGAGCTTTCTTGTGCCAAAACGTACAGACCCGCTTCTCTCATTGTTTTACGGTGCTCAGGGTGCTTTTAGGTACTGACTGTTAGGCTTAACAGTTGTGCTGGTATCACAGATGAAATAGATTGTTTGGACCACCGTCCTTGTCTGGTGTACACGTGTGTAACATGCGTACATACTAATACACCAGGCGAGGTCGCGAACAATGAGTACATCCATGGTATTAATCACTCGTCTCAATCCTTATGTAAAGCTGTAATCTGTACTTGTGTAACACCAACCTAACGACGAAGCAGAGATCGTGAATTGTAAGCCCCTGAGTGGCAGGAACGGCAGGCACCGCAGGGAATCGAGCCCGCTACCTCTGGTTTCCCGGACGCGTAGCTGAACCACATCATTACTTGTCCCCACCTCTTGGGCTGTGTGGCGAACTTGGCCGTGACCGTGACCTTGACCCTGACCCCGGCCGTGACCCTGACCGTGTGGCGGACAGGCGCTGACCAGTCAGCTGGCCGTGCTGGAGGCGCAGATCGCTGAGCAGCGCGAGAAGGTGGCGCAGGCCACCCCCGACCCGGCCGTCGTCCGCAAGATGGAGGCCCAGCTGAAGCGCGCCACCAAAGGTGACGTCAGAGGGGCGCCGTCGATGTGGAGGGAGCGGCCGGCGCGGCGCTGTCCGTCCGGCGGCGTGCGGCCTCAGCCGGTCCCGATCCGGGAGCTGGCGGCGCCGTCCGACCCGAACGGGGGGGGGGGGGGGTTGAGGGGGAGAGGGGAGGAGCTCGCCGGTGCCGGTGCGGGCGCGGGCGGCGGCGGCTGGTTCCCCTCTCCACTACGGGGGTGTTGTCACCGGTCGCGGCTCCCATGTCGCTGCGGGCGATGTGGCCGCACGAGCGGTCGCCGTGGAACGACAGGCGGACGGCACGAACCGATGCCACCGGTCCCGCCGTGCTGTCTGCATGGTGCTGTGCCGTCGCGACGCCATGGGAGCTGCGCGATGTCACCGCGTTTCGCGCATCATTGCGCGGACGTCACGCCGCTGACGGGCGCGCTGTGCGATGTCGGCAGAGTTTGCGAAGGCCGAGGCGGCGGCCGACGTCGTGGAGTCGCGCGTGAAGGCCGCCCACGACAAGATCATGGAGATCTCGGGCGGCAAGGTCAAGGCGGCGCAGAAGAAGCTCGATGACGCCACCAAGAAGCTGGAGAAGGTCAGTCTCTGCCGTGATGGGATGTTGTTTGACGCTGGAGCTCTGTCGGAAGGCTTCAACGTCGCGTCTGCGTCGATGGAATTCTGTGCGGCCCAATAGAAGAGACATCTGTCGTCGAGATATGGCGAACGCCTATCTCATTGTCTATGCCACCAAGGGCGGCCTGTGTGTGTGGGTGTGGGTGGGTGGGTGCGTGCGTGCGTGCGTGTGTTTGTATGCGTGTCTGTGCCGGGCTTTGCCCCTCACCGCTTAGCCGGACGCCTGCCTGCAATCTGTGGCAGCTGCTGGCGCCGTTCCCGACTGCCTGACGCCATCTGACCCCGTTTGTCCTTGGTCGCTGCCGCGTCCACTCCCCGCCTGTGGCTGACCGTCACGGTCAGCTGACGCAGCCGGTGGTAGGAAGTCCGCGATTGGTCGCCGTCACCGGCCGCCGCCCGTGATTGGCCGCCGTCGCCGGCTGCGATTGGCCTTCGCCCCCCACCGCCGCCCGTGATTGGCCGCCGTCGCCGGCTGTGATTGGCCCTCTGCCCCCCGTCTCCGCCCATGATTGGCTGACGCCGTCCGGGTCGCCAGGTGAGCGGCGACATCGTGCGGCTGGGTGTGGCCATCAAGACGGCGGAGCGCAACGCGGCCAAGTGCCGGGACAAGATCGCCGCCATGGAGACGGAGCAGACCGAGGCGGAAGCCGAGAAACAGGTGCGCGCGCCGCGCCCGGCCGGGCCGGACCGTGAGCTTCGGCCGTGAGCTCGTCACTAGCCGGATGCGGTGTCGTTGGAGGCTGTCGGACGAGCTGGAACGCGCGGCTCGGTTCGAATGTACCATCATCTGTTCCTCTGTTCACGCGATGTGGGGACCACGTGGTGTTATTTGGGACGATAGCTTGTTCACGTGGCTGCTTTACGGTCATCACTGTGGACGGGGCCGCGGGGGTGAGGCGTGCCGCCTGCCTCGCGCCGCGTGGCGGGCCGTCCGGCACTGGCCCCAGTGGTGCCGCTCTGTGGCTGGCGGACGCCGGGACAGGGTCGGTGGGTGACGTCCGGTGGGCGTGACGCGCTCCGTTCTGTCCGCCGCAGTCGCTGTGCGAGCAGCGGGAGAAGCTGGAGGAAGAGGCGGCGGTAGTCATCAGCAAGATCAAGGATCTGGAGGTGAGCGGCGGTGGACGCGTCGCAGCGGCTCGGTGTAGTGTCCTCCCCCGATGTCGGTGCTGGGGCTCGCGGGCGACTGTGCTGCCTGCTAGGCCGGGAATGGACCATCGTCCTTCGAAACCAGACTAACCCTCGGCCTCAGCCTCACAGTGGTAATTGTGTTGACTTTTGGCGTCATCGGCGTTGAATTCATTTAATTCGTTCGGTGTTCTTCACTGCAATGTCCGGCGCTGAGGAGAGGTGGTGTCCTCCCGAGCCTGTCAGCGTGCTGGCACGCGCAAGGTGGTAGGTTAGCGCGGCGCCAGATACATCCGTCATTTGGCTGGTGCTGATGTCCTGCGCCTGACCCAGGACACGCGGAAGGAGCTAGACCAGAAGCTGTCGGCCCTGAAGGAGGAGCGTGACAAGGTGGCGGCGGACGAGGACAAGATCAAGTCCTCCAAGATCGAAGTCGACCAGGAGATGGAGAAGTACGACGGCATTATCAAGGAGAACAAGTCGCGCGCCCATCACTGGAAGAAGCAGGTAGGTGTCTTCCTTGGACGCCGCCTGCAACGTGGTTCTCTGTAAGAGTTAATTTTGTGTTGTGAGATGCATTTTTAAGATTGAACTTTAGCTTTTGAACTTTTTGACAATTTTGTGTTTGAATGCAATTTGCTGCTATATGCAGTAACAAGTGCGCCGTGCGTCCACTCGTCTCTCATTTTGCTATGATTGCAGTTGGAATATGGCTCTAGCATTGTTGACTAAGATGTCTGGATGGCCTGAGATCTGTCGGATGTGGTGAAGAGCCGTGATTTCGTAGCGTGATTTCTCCGGGTGTCGGCTGCCCGCCTTGCCGCTGACCAGACCCCCACCGTCCGGGCAGCTGTCGAAGCTGGAGCTGCAGCCGGTGCCGGAGAGCGACCGCACGCCCGAGGACGTGCTGGAGCTGGCGCAGCTCTCCGAGGACGAGCTGCAGAAGCTGGACGACGAGGCCGTCAAGTACACGCTCACCATGCAGGAGGAGGAGCTGAGCCGTCTCAAGCCCGACCTGGCCGCGCTCGCCGAGTACAGGAAAAAGGTGCCGTCTCCGCCGCCCTGTCAGTGTGCCGTGGGGGCAGCGCCGGGGTCTTCGGAGACACGGCTGACCTGTGCCGCTGTCTGTGTTCGCTACGGTGTTGTGCAGCTCTGGCGGTCCGGGGTTCAGGCCGACACGATGGGCCCACTGTTGCAGCGTGGCGTCTGTTGAGGCTCTCTCAGTGGTTGACGCACAGGTGATACAGGTGCTGAGTCTGTGACCAGGGCGGTGGGGATGTGATGGGTTGATCTCGTGCTCGCCGGCGGGTGCCTGGCCGGCGTGGGGCGTGATGCTATCGCAGACGGGGTCGAAACGTCGTACGCCGCGCGGTTGGGGGTCTGGAAGAGGTCTGGCAGGCTGATCCAACACGATCGATAAGATTTCGGGACCTTAACCGCTAAGCTAGGCCTACTTCGGTCCTTACCCGTCCGGTTGTTCGGTGGCTGACCTGTGTTTCGTGCGTTGTGTGACCTGTGCCCCGGGCGTTGTCTGACCCGTGCCCCGTGCGTTGTCTGACCCGTATCCCGTGCGTTGTCTGACCCGTACCCCGTGCGTTGTCTGACCTGTACCCCATGCGTGTCTGACCCGTACCCCGTGCGTTGTCTGACCTGCGCCCCGTGCGTTGTCTGACCTGTGCCCCGTGCGTTGTCTGACCCGTGCCCCGTGCGTGTCTGACCCGTACCCCGTGCGCTGTCTGGCCTTACCCCGTCGTACCGCCCCGCAGGAGGAGATCTATCTGAGCCGGGTGGCGGAGCTGGACGAGATCACGGCTAAGCGTGATACGCAGCGCAAATACTACGATGACCTGAGGAAGCAGAGGCTCAACGAGTTCATGGCCGGCTTCGCTATCATCACCTCCAAGCTGAAGGGTAGGCCGCGCGTCCGGTGCCGTTCGACGCGAGCGAGCGGGCGCCGTTCGGTGGGCGGCCGCGTCGCTGTGTGCTGTGGGCTCCGCGAGACCCGTCCACACTGTACAGCGGAAAGTGGTGGTGTGTAGTGCATGGGTATGGGTCGCGACAGGCATTTTGGTGGCATGTTCCGTGTAAAGTTGTAGGTTAATCCCAGTGATATACTTTCGCGAGATGCTCAGTATCCAGCTGAAAGGATGGCGGTAAGGTTGCGCTGAACCTCATCTGCCGTCGCCTGCACATGGTGTGGTTAATGTGCCTGCTCACATTCTTAGAGGCTATGTCCCAAATCGTTCCCCTCGTCATCATTGTCTCCGTGACCCCTGGGATGATAAGACAGCGGCAGGGCCACCGCGATGTGGCGGTGCGCCCTCAAGGGCGGCGCTGTGGCCACTTGAGCCGCCGGCCTGCGGCACCGGGCCGTGCGGCCGGTGCCGGCCGGCGAGGCCCGGCGGAGCGCGGCCGGCTGACGGACCTCTCCGCCCCGATAGAGATGTACCAGATGATCACACTGGGGGGCGACGCCGAGCTCGAGCTTGTCGACTCGCTCGACCCGTTCTCGGAGGGCATCGTGTTCAGGTGGGTGTTTACGTCGGCCGGCGCGGCGGACCCGGCCGCTCCGCTCGGAGCGTGCCCGTCCCGCGCGCGCGTGTTGACGCGGCGGGGCGGGCGAGATAACGGCGATGTTCGCGGGGCTTGACCCCCCATCGTTGGCGTCGGGAGCTGAATGCCAGTGACTTCGCCTGCTGTGTTTCACGCGGTGTCGGGGTCAGATTTTGGTGCCGGTCGGCCGTTGTAGCCGACTATTCCACCCACAGGGTGCCGGCCCGTGCTCAGTGCAGCGGTGCTGTGAGTGAAGTGGTACGTTAGCAGGCGGGGTGGTTACCTCAGTCGAGTACTCACATGGTGTTCGGGTGTTCTGTTTCGACGTAACATTATGCCGCCGACCTGTGGCCGCCATATCTATCCTCGACTCGCTGCCCGGCATTCCTGTGACCTGCCGGGCACCGCGTCAATGCATTCGCCACGCGCGGACGCACGCACGCACAGCCATGTCCACGCGCAAAGAAGGCGCGCCGGCCATCCCCTCCGAAACGTGACAGTTGGGGCCCGTGACGTCACAGCGTGCGTCCGCCCAAGAAGTCGTGGAAGAACATCACGAACCTGTCGGGCGGCGAGAAGACGCTGTCGTCGTTGGCGCTCGTGTTCGCGTTGCACTACTACAAGCCGACGCCGCTTTACGTCATGGACGAGATCGACGCCGCGCTCGACTTCAAGAACGTCTCCATCGTCGGCAACTACATCAAGGTGGGCGGAGGGTGGGTGGGAAGGATGGAGGAGGCCGGGAGGGGGGGGGGGGGGGGTGGCTGAACTGAGGCGAAGGTTACGGGGAGAGTGGAGGGCGTTGTGGGTAGGATGTGGTTGGCTTGTGCGCTTGGTGAGGGTTGTCTAGGTGGTGCCGTGATCTTCACGCGCTGTTTATGCCAGTCTGCCACTGATGTGCTTTGTAGTCCGGCTTTTCCTTACATATGTCACTGAAATTGTTGTCTTGCTGTCTTCATTTTCGTGTGAGGACTCTACAATTTTTAGCGTTAATTGTTCCCCATCGTACAGTGCTGCAGTCATCATTTCGCCGTGTGTACTTCGGTTCCACGGGCCTGTACGGGTATTGTGCCGCTCTGCCCGACGTCCGTCCACTTACGTGCGTCCCGTCCTGTGCCTGACAGGAGCGCACCAAGAATGCCCAGTTCATCATCATCTCGCTGCGGTCGCAAATGTTTGAACTGGCCGACCGGTTGGTGGGCATTTACAAGACGCACAACGCCACCAAGTCGGTCACCATCAACCCGGGCCTGATCGGCCGACCGGCTGCGGCGCCCGCCGCGCCCGTTGCCCCCGCGCCGGCCGTCGACGCCGCGCGCACCATGCTCGCCTCGCAGCCCTGACCTGGCGTGACCTGGCCTGACATGACGTGGCCTGGTCATTCCTGACCGGAGGGACGGCTTCCTCGCGCCGCCGCGCCGGTGCCGTGTCGAGCGGTGTCGGGGGTCGGGCGCGGTGCTCGTCCCCCGGGCTCGTGGCGCCCCGCGGACGCAGCGGCGCCGCACGCACCAGGGGCGGCGCTGCCGGTGCGGGGCTGGGCTGCGGCCCGCGGCTGCCGCCGCCAGCCGACTCTTCTCTCGCCTGTCGTGCTTTGTAGTGAATGTCGCGTATTGTTAGTCATGGAATGTCGTTCCCAGCTGGCGGTGGTGTCGCGATATGCGGATGCGGAGCTGGGCTCTGGAACATTCCGCTGTGTGGGTGCCCGGGCCGATCCGCCCACCGTCCAACGGATGGCCCGTCTCACGCGCTGTCGGCGGTATTCACAATATACGACCGCGCACAGCTCGTCGCAAATCATAGGCAGAAAGATTGGGATGTGTTTCGAATGGTATGGATGCCCTGATCATGTGCGGTGGAATGCTCTTTCAGCACTCAGTCCCTATGGCGATGACACCACCCTGCGTATTTTACGTGCGAGCAGTGGTAGACATGTCGCAGAATTGGGCGAAGATTCTGAAAACTTGATTGAAGTCCATTCTGAAACAGCACATTATGAGCTTTGCTGTTTTATCATTTGTTATGACACCGCCATACGTCATGTTGCATGAACAGTTTTGCAGAATTTTGGTACTTTGATTTCGTCAGCCATGGGACGATTGCATGTCAAGCAAGAGATACTTGATATCGTTATTAATTGGGTAGGGGAGAGGGGGATCCGACGTATCGATCTCAGTGTGAAGCAAATAGGCTGAACACGTCGCGTTGATGGCTAAGCAAAAGCGTGAGGTGGCTGAAATTCTTTGGTAACCCACGGCCCCTGCGGACTCGAACACGATTTCATAATGCTCTTGGCGCATGCGCGCCATGCCCCCGAGAAGTTTGCCTGGCTGGTGGACAATCAAAGCAACCGCGGCCGCTATTTTTCGCGGCTTATAGTTAACTATGAACATCTGACATACACTGCAGGGTTATTGATGTTCAGCTTCGGACCCAGGGGAAGAAGACGCTGGGTAGGAGGAGATTACGCGAACAAGTGCCCCATCTCTAAGACAACATGACGCCCATGGGGAAGTTTTTTATTCAGCTGACTTGCTTCAGCCCCGCTTTCAATTAATTTTCAGATGAAGTGAAACACACGGAGAGATACTTGCTTTCTTGTTTTAGGGGAAAGTGGTTTCGTCGTTTTTCACTTGTCAGCTCCCTACATCGCTTTGCGAAACTACGTCCTTGATCGGGGCGTGAGGCTGTTGGCCATTAGGCCAAGAGGTCTCTTGGCTTGCTCTATGCCCATTTGAAAATCATGCCAAAGCTTTCCAAATCAAATGCTAGTGGCAGTTTTCCCTTCATCCCAGTTTTCGAAAGCATGACCGCGCCCACGCCTATACGGCATCTCCGAAAACTGCTGACAGGAATAATTTTGGAACATTCATGGTTAAATTTGGCAGCATTTCTGAAGCAGAGCACAGACGAGCGCAGACTGTCGTACAAGATGGAGGAACTTGCCGTGGAGGTGCGGAGAGAGGACGGGGGATATTACAAAGTAAGTCCAAGATTAATTTTTAAGTGATGGGTTACGCTCTTTGAAATTTCTTCCTAAGCTCCTCTGCGAAATTTTGTATGTTCGGCCCCGGGGGCGAGTAAAATGCATTAGTAAGTGAATGAGACGAACTCGACGGAAGGCTTTTTTGGTGGGAATAATGCTGCCCGGCACCGATTAAGACCAATAGACTCTGTGAAGGATGAACCATGGTGTGAATTAATAAAACCTGTGTGTTTTTTCATGATGATCCTAATAGATGGTGTAACCTGCCTTTAATTTTTGGTACAATGTTGTGCGCCAGAGTGCAAGGTGGCTTTGTGGGACATGCTTTGGCATATTAATCCATGTGAAGTAATAATTGTAAACAGGTGACGTGTGGCTCAACAAGATCTGATGATAACAAACCTGCTGTCCTGGAATTAGATAATTGTCGTGGAAGCATGTCAGTTACAGTGCACTGTATTATGCTGGAACAGGTAAAGGTAAAGAAACAGGTAAAAGTGTTTATTCTTGAACAGTAAGGGGTAATTATCGGTAACCAGATTTTCTTTACTGCTGAATTCCTGTAGTCTAAGTATGCAAGTTATGACAAGGATTGACAAAAGGGGAAGCAACTCTTTCAGTTCAGCCCTGCAAATGATATTTGTGCTTGTTTTTATTGCATATTTATGCTGTCATTGAATGGTGTCAGTGATGTTGATATTAAGGGCACATGATATCAAGAGGCATTTTATGCCATCTTGAGGATGTTTCATAGAGATGGTTATTCCATTTCCTGGCTGGATGGACACTTTAACCCAACAAGGAAACAAAATAAATTTGGTGTCCAATTTTTAATGAAGTATCTTTACATCATGCCAAAATGAGGCATATAACTAGATTTATGAGGTCACGGGTCTCACCCACATTCAGACCACATGAGCTGTGGGAATGCGTGTTAAACAACTTGCATTGAGACAGTACCTGTTGAGAGTATTGACTTTTGATCTGCCAAGAAAGTCATATAGCCTGATGGATAGATTGTTACATGTTTTAGCTGTATGATATATTACATCATCATCATTATCATCATATGTAGAGTGTGATATACTGGCCTGTTTCAAAAGTCATGTCTTGCTGAAGAGTTGGGACATTTCATGCATACAGTATGAGTACTTCCCCTGAATCTTGACACTACCATGTACTACACTTAATCCTATGCCTTCTGCCCTTTCACATAAGCCTGGCACAGCCAAAATATACATGGGTTTCCTGTGCATGAATCATCATGTTGCTGTTATGTACAAAGTCAGGGAACCCCAAAAGATCAGAGTGATGATCTCCTTATAAGGTCTCTAGGCTGCACACCCTGCAGCAGTGCAAGTCCCCCTGGCATATCATTGGTGTACCCGCGTGCAAAATGTCTGACATTCGTACTGTGATCTGCAGGCATCAGTCATCGATGCAGGAAGAGGAGACACAGTCCGGGTGAAATTTGATGAGTAAGTACAACCAATCCTGCACGTGTGGTCGCAGGCTCCCACACAGGAGGCCTAGTCCAGCCCCCACACTTAAGCAGGTGTGAAAATGAAGAACATTCTGCCATGGTACATATTAATCATTATAGTGGCATTAGTGTATGCCATATTACATGTACAAGTGTGGTAAATGACAATCAGGGGGTTTTGCCTGGATTGCCTCCCTCCCCAACTTTCTTGGAAGGCTGAAGTAATGTCTTTAATTTATGTGGAATGTTTTACATGAGTGGTTTTGGTGTAAAACACTTGCAAAACACACCTTACCTTCATGTATTACCTGCATGTACATGCCACCCAGGATTGGCCAGCCCAATCTTTGTCAGACAGTTTGCCTTCAACCTGTTGTGAGGCAACACTTGACCATGTTAAACACCACATAGTGCTGTGGCATGGCAGCTCCTGGCCCAGTTTGGCCTGGCCCCATGGATTTTTAAAAAACTGAGTTGGAGTTTGTCATGTCAGTCAGATCAAACCATGGAGCCCATCTCTGGCACTTGTACCCAGAATTCAGTGCAGCCAGGTTATGAATGCAGTATCTTTCCCTTAGACAAAAAGGGCACTTCTTTAAGTGTTTATAGTACAGTTGAATATAAAGCAGTGATCAACATGCATTATTGAAGTCATTGAACTGTTTAGAGTGCATGCAGGGAATAGTGTCCAATATGCAAACATGATTGTGGATCAGCCACCTTCAGCTGAAGAAGGTAAGGATTCAGTCCACAAGGAATTAAAGAAGAAAGTAATGACTTTTTGGGTTTACTCATCTTCAGGCATAGCAAAGAGACATGGTGCACTGAAAGGGAAATGGACAACAATCGATTTGCTGCACCACAACCACTCATGATCCCTCACACAAGTCAGGTGGCTCCCCCATGCCTCAGTGGTCATCACTGCGTTCAAGTCTGACTTCTGCTGCATGCACAGGGCTTGTTAATTGACATGTTAGGACAGTTAATTATTAAGTTAATAAAAAATTAAGCATAGGACAGTTAATTGACATGTCCGTCACTAGTGGCTGTGTCTTGACATGAAATGCATGCCTAGTTTCCATAGAGTATCCAGATCATCATTATCCATTCTGTCGTCATCCATATCATTACGCGCCTGATTGTTCCATTGACCGCCGGCAGCGGGCAGCTGGCGGAGGCGGACGTGCCGCTCTCTCAGGCGCGCCTGGCGCCGGCCGCCGCCGACCCGCACGCGCCGCCGCCGGCCGAGGGCGAGCAGGTGGAGGTGTTCTCTCGCCTCAGAGACGACGCACCCTTCGGCTGGCTGCCGGCCGTGGTCAAGGTCAGTGGCCCCTGCAGGCTCGCCCGTGCTGGCCGCCGGTGATGGGCGTGAGATGAGTGCCCGGGTGCATGTCTCGCGGTTTGTTTAGGTGATTTCTGTTTACTTAATGGGCTAAGGCCATTGATTAGCAGGCTGCTGCGTTGTAGAGCCGGAACAGTCTGGCTGCGTCGAGGGGTTAGTAGCGCTCGGCGGCGGGGCGCAGTGCCGCTGGCAATGCTGACCTGACCTGACCTGACCTGACCTGACCTAACCTGAGGCGCGCTTGACCCCGGCTCGGCAGATCGTGAAGGGGGACCGATGCGTGGTGGAATTCACCGGGCTGGGGGACGTGCGGCGCACGGACATCATCGGCCAGGATGAGATCCGGCCCCAGAACACCAACCCGCCCATCACCAACAGCAGCTTCTACTCGTGCTACATACCCGTGCCCGAAGACCTACTAGAGTAGTGAGTGGGCTTGGCAGCAGGTGCCAGCTCTTGGATGTAGGCTTGCCATACCCGTGCGATCACGCGTGTGTTATGGCTGTTTTCGGTCCTTGTTGATTGCAGGGTGACAAAGACATGTGTGGTGGTGATGTTGTAATGCAGTCATGCTGCAGTATTGACAGATTATTATTTTCCTTGTTCAGAGAAGAAAATGTATGCTCTCTTGGCCTTTGCAGATGCTTGTGTAGCTTTTTTGCTTTACATCATGCTATTATTGTATAGGGCTTGCCTTTTCTACTGCATATCCCATTGATGTTGAGATTGCCATGTTTCATCATGTTGTATCCTGCATTATACAGCTGGCTTAAGATTTTGACACAAGTTAGCATTCTCAGCTGTATACAAAAAGGCAGACTGTGGCTTAACATTGGTGTTGAAACAGTTGTTATAAGCCATCTCTAGTCAATGGCGTTTTTCGTGACGATTATCGCGTGTCTCAAGTGTAGAACTTGTCAGCATTGTTTTTTGGATAGTTCAGGCTTATTGTGACATTGTTTTGTGTTTCAGTGCACATCTACAGAATGCCCACAAAGAGTTTCAAAAGGCCTGTGGAGCCGCAATATGTAAATTCATACCTGAGAAGAACAGCTTGTTTCTAATGGTATGTTTCACTACATGTAATATGTGTCTTCATGCTTTTGAGTGACTGGATTTACCCTGAACTGTCAGTTTTTGGTCTTGCAGCTCTGTGGGTTCTGTTATCGAAAGGAATTGTGGTAAAAGTACAAGACAAGGGGACAAAGATCGAACGGAATACGCAGCCGTGCGAAGTGTTCACCGTTTGTCACATTTGACGTTCACGGTTAACTGAGCAGCTCCGTCGTCTGCGTCGTTGTACGCCCCTGTGCGCTCCAGACCGGCTCGCCGGCCGGCTACCCGCCCGCCCCGCCCCCGCTCACGCTCCGCCGCCGCCGCAGGGCCGCACCGCGACCGTCAAGAACCGCGCCAACATCCTCTCGGAGATGCACTTCCGCGGCCTGAAGCAGAAGGCGCTGCTGCTGTCGCGCACACAGGAGGCGTCCCGCCACCTCGAGTCGACCAAAGCGCACTCGCGCTCCGTGTAAGCGCCGCCGGACGGGAGGGGGGAGAGAGTACCAGTGTCCCCTGTCGGCTGCGGGGCCAGGCTGTCGCAGTGTCGAGTGGACGGAGCACGGCGCCCTGCCGGGTGGTGCGTGCACCTGACCGGCGTGTGGTGCCGGAGTGAGCGGCAGGGGAGCTCTCGTCGCCCTTCACGGCTCTCTACCGCTGTTGACAGCGTTACACGGGAGTTTTAGCGGTGCCGCGTGGTCCAGCGAGGTTGTTCTTTGCTGCATGTAAATGCGTATTAATATGCAGGCTGTCTAAGCGGCAAACCATTCAGCATTGTATTGGTTTCTCCTTTGACAAGTACACGGAGGAACTCGCGGTAACAAACTAGCTCAGTTTCAAGCTCCTCTCATCAAGGAAATGTTTGTTTATGTCGGTTTTGGAGGACCTTACACTATTTTTCTGTGGTTGGGTGCTGACAGATGTGTCCTGTGCTGGATGGCTTTGTAATGTCCCTCTCCCTCTCGTGCGTGTCACTGTATGGCCAGGTGCACGGAAGAGGCCCTGGTGGTGGGCACCCAGCGTCCTGTGTCCTTTGGCCTGGTACACGGAGGATGTGGTGAAGTACGAAGCGCTGTGTCTCGCTCCGTCGCCAAGTACGCATTGAGGCTGTCGGCGGCGGCGCGCCTGACGCCCTCTCCCTCCACGACCAGGTACACAGAGGAGTTCTCAGTGGTGGAAGATCTGATGGGCCTGGCGATCGGCGCGCACGGCGCCAACATCCAGCAGGCGCGCCGGCTCGACGGCATCACCAACATCGAGCTGGAAGAGAAGACGTGCGTCTTCAAGATATACGGCGAGGTGGGAGCGGCGCGGGCGGCGGCGGGCTTGCGCCGGCGCGGGGCGTCCATCGCTCGTCAGCTGATAGGCTCGGGGGGGGGGGGGGGGGGGGCGAGCTGGGTGGCGGCGGACAGCACGCTCGTCGTCGCGGTGGAGAATTGTTGAGGAACTCGGCAGCCGAGCGGGGCTGCGGTGCGGTATGATGGGTTGAGGTTCTGAACGATTGTAGTTTGACGGCGCCTCTGTGTAGGTCTCAGACCTGGGCACGTTTTGACGGCGTCGAGTGGCGCGCTGCGGCGGCGCACTCAGGGGCAGGCTGGACCGCCCGTGGCTCTATGTGTCGCATGGCAGCGTCGAGGGACACCCTCTTACCGCGCGTGTGCCGTTCGCAGTCCGAGGATGCCGTGAAGAAGGCCAGGAGCATCCTCGAGTACAGCGAGGTGTCGATCCAGGTTCCCCGGCAGCTGGTCGGCAAGGTGATCGGCAAGAACGGACGCATGGTGCAGGAGATTGTCGACAAGAGCGGCGTGGTGAGTCCTCCGGGAGCGCTGCAGGGCCACCGCATGGTGACGTCGCATGAGAGCAATCTGAACATGTCCAAACTGATGCTGATTTGTATCTTGTTAGTTTGGCCGAAAACTTGCCAATCCTGGTCGGGGTGCAAGCATTCGTGCTGCTCGGTATTTGGTTGTTGCATTAAGTGTCTTGTTCTGAGTTTCTTAATTAAACAAAGCAAAGCTTTGTCCCGGCATTGTCCTTGGAAGTGCATGATCGGGTGGTTGATCGACGGTCATTAGAACGCACTTCATGTTGGATTTTGTCAAAGATCTTGCACATGCACTTTTGCCATTTTGGCAGTTTGGTGGCAATCCACTAGGAGAAAGCTGTTGCCTTTGTTCTCTGCATGGGCTCACCGGTCTACGTGCTATTACCTTCTCTCCCTCCCACGCGTGTCATCGATGTCGTCAATCCCAAAGCTGACCGAGTGGAAGACCGCGGAGTCATTTCAGACATCCTGTCTTTAGAACTGGCATTAGAACTTGCTGATGGCATCCGCTTGCCCCGTTCCGCCTCGCCTGCGCGGCCGGTGGCCCGCTCTCTAACGTCACACCCCCTCGGCAGGTGCGGATCAAGATCGAGGGCGAGAACGAGCCGAACCCGACCACGCCGCGCGAGGAGGGCCTCGTGCCGTTCGTGTTCGTCGGCACCATGGACGCCATCGAGATGGCGCGGGTGTTGCTCGAGTATCACCTGGCGCACCTGCACGAGGTGGAGCAGCTGCGGCAGGAGAAGCTGGACATCGACCAGCAGCTGCGCACCATGAACGGACCGCCCGGCGGCGCGCCTTACCAGCCGCGCTCGCGCACCGAGCGCCCCTACAGCGGCGACGGCGAGGGCGGCGGCCGCGGCCGCGGTGGCCAGCCGTACCGCGGCCGCGGGCGCGGTCGCGGCCGGGGCGGCTACGACTCCCGCGACGGCAGGGACAACAGAGACGCCAGGTGAGCGCCGGCTCCGCGGGGACCCGAGTGGAGAGGTGGAGCATAGTGATGCTGGGCACACGTGGTCGGCTCCCGAGGGCACGCGGACGCGCGAGACTGCGGCCGCCCGGCGTGGCGGGCGGGCTGGGTGGTGAAAAGCCCGTCTGTTGGTGTGGCGGGGCCGCGTACACCCGCGATCCATGAGCAACAAGTCCACAGTCGGCGCTGGGCCACGTGCTGAGCCCGCCTGACCTGACCCGACCTGACCGGGTCTGCCCGTCCGCAGATACAACGGTCACACGGAGGGCGGCGGCGCCGAGCGCAACGGCGACGGCCCGCGGCCGGCCGGCCGCGGCGAGCGGCGGCGCGGCGAGCCGCGCGGCAGCCGCAAGTAGGCCACGGCCGCCCCCGTCCCTCCCGCCTCCACGCGCGCCTCCGTCTGCCCCGAGCGGGTCGACCATCGGACCTGCGCGACCTAGCCCCGGACTGGATCGGACCCTGACCTGTGACGCCGCCTGTCCACCAGAGAGTGAGAGAGAGAGAAAGCTATTGTGTAAGGGAGATAGAGAGGAGGCAGATGTAGACGGACCCGCACCTGGCCCAGACCGCGGCCGCGGCCACGCTCGCCGTCCCAGCGTCTGTGCTTGGCCACACCGCGCGGACACGACCCGCTCAGAACACACACGGACACACACACACACGTTTACATTCACATTCGCATTCGCACTCACACAGGTACGCCACGCTCACACACACACAGCTCCGGATTGCAGCTCCTGGCACGCGTCGACTGTCGACCCACTGTTTTCTTGACACCCGTCAGCCGCCATGCTGCTGGCAGTCCGGCGCGAAGGCTGGCAGCCGCGCTGAGACCGCCCCGTCCCGCGCGCCGCGTGCTCCGCCAGCGTCGGAGGGCGTCTCTGCCACCACCTTCAGCTGCCGCCCACTTGAAATTGCCTCAAGCGTCTTGCTGCTGTTCTCACGTCACACACCTGCGTCGGCGCATGTGTGAGCGCGTGCCGACCTCGCTTCGCGGCGAGCTCTCATCGCAGACGCGTGATCCCGCACCGTTTGCGCAACCTGCGGGTCTTTTGAACGCGCCTTGCGGACCCGCCACTCCGCCCCCACACACGACAGTCGAAACAGACCGGACAGGCGGGCTGAGCGGGTTTCTCAACACGCTAGCCACACGCACGTCTGCACAGACCTCCATGCATATACCACGTGACAGTTCGTTTTCTCCGTTCTTTTGATTAGCGTTTGTTGCATGCCGCTAGCTCTTTGTTGCGTTCGCGCGGCGCCCGTGCGGTGCCCGGCGCCCCTCGCCCTGTCGGCTGCCCGCCGCCCTCTGTCGCGCGGCAGTCTCGGACGCGACCTACGACCGGTGGCGCGCCGTTCGGGCGCAGTTCCGCGCGGCGGCGCGGCCTCCCGTCACCGCGCGCCGCGCCGCCGCAGGCCGACCGGCGGGCGGCCCCGCGCCGCCCGCCCCCCGCCCGAGAGAGAGAAGGAGAAAGATAGACAGACTGACAGCGAGAAACCGACCGGCCGCGCCCGCTGCCGCCGGCGCGGGCCAGGAGAGACAAAGCCCGGATCATGCCAGCCAGTGCCGGACGATTCTGTTCAGTTCGCCTTCGTGTACTTCGATTTTCTAATAAAATTGTACATTGTTGGGCGCGCGGTGTTTGATGTGCTACGGCCAGAAGCGGCGTTCCGTCTGCGAGGAGTTGGTGTCGCTTGGACCACACTACCGTTTCATTTGTGCCGCGGTTAATCCACGCGTCAGAACCGAGGTATTGCGCATAGCACCGACAACTACAGTTGCGCGGCTGACAAGAGCACACAGGAACGCGTGCGTTGGCTAAACGGGAAATGGACACCAGGGCCCGGCTTCTAATCAACTTACGACTCAATCTCCGCATAGATGCGTGGCAATGAAGAAAGCACTTATTGCAAGTATGGGCACAAGTAGAATTAGTGGATTCAATCTCGTGGAAGCGTACAGCACACAGTAACGGCTCGCTCATATTATTCGAATGAACAGCTCTCGGCAAGGTTTGTAGCCAAATACATCATTTCCGATTAGCCGATTCTACGTACGCCCACATTGGGATCATAAGCGTTCTTCCTTGATGTGCACCTGGTCTGTACAACGCGCTGCTCCGTTCCGTGTGGGAATGCGCGCACTTATTGGTGTGAGCGGCGTCGTGCGTACAGACCACCTGCCAGCCTGTCCATGGCGGTTGATTTTGCCAACAGAAGATCTCTCGCTCCCGGAGGTCAGCAAAGCAGATGTACAACCGATCGTCTTTCGTTCCAGAGCTCTAGAATACCTTGCATCATACCAATCACATATGGTTATGCTCACACGTAGCCTCAAGACACCAGACAGCGTTGGTGGTGTCTTCTTGTGTCGCAGTGACCCGATCGCTTTCACTGCCGGCGCGTGCCACGCTTTTGACGTCGGAACTCTTGGCTATTTTGAGAGCGATTTGTTACATCGAGGTAGGTGATGAGATTTTATACCTCACTTCAACGAACTCCTTGAGCAGTCTTCTGTCGCCGAGGGCTTTTTATCCACTCCTTTTATCCACTCCTGAGTTGTTCATCCACTTTTTATTCCTTGTACAAAACATTGCATTGCGTCTCACTGCACTGAACCGGATAAGAAACACGCTTCTTCTTTGCTGGATTCGGAGTCACGTCAGCATCCGTGGAAACGAACCAGCCGACTCTGCGGTGAGACGAGCAGTTCATGCACCCTATTCGCATCGGATGCCTCTCCCGACCGAACACTTCTACCCTGCCATCACTGCCTGCGTACAAGGCAGCAGGTGTTGGACGCAATGGCCAGTAACAAGCTCAGGGCAGTGAAGCCACAGTTAGCGGTGTGGCAGTGGAGCTCGCGGAGGGCGAGGCGAGAGGTGACTGCAGATTGCGTGTTTTGGTATAGGGGAGGGAAGGGCAGCACCGACGTCTGGGAAACACCGCCCGCGTCGGTATCGAGAATATTTGACATTGCACATCAACAACTGTCGGGCATTTTCAGCCATTACGCCAAAGAGAAGTGTAGGGCGCCGGAACTCTCTTACACAGCGTACTTTACCCTTGCAGGTAGTGATATTAAAAAGAGCGCATTTCGCCAACGGTGGTAGATAGTCTTATGTTTTAACGTGTGAGGATTTCTCTGAGGTTTATATGTATTTCCGTCAAGGTTGCGCACCCTGGATTGTACAAGGAGTGGTCGGCGATGGCGCCGTTTACGCTCTTGTGCTGTAGACAGGTCTTCGGGGAACACCGCCCGCTTTGGCGGGGCTACCCTGCCACGCGCGGTGTTACCCCAGGCGGTGTTTGCCTGGATTTTTAAAAAAAATGAGAATGATTGGACAGATGTTAAGACAACTGATGACTGTTAGGGATACGGTGAAAATAAAATTGCATATCACTAATTAGTCGTGTTGTAGCTATTACTTACCCAAGCCTTTTCCTTTTCAAAATTCCATAAAACCTGTGCGTGGGGGCTTAAAGGTACGTCAGGTCTGTAGGAGGTATGGCGTGCCCCACTCAACCCTCAGGGATCGCTTAAAAGACGACGGCCCGTTAGAACCAGATGGCCCTCGATGCCTCGGTACAAGGGCGGCGTATTCGAATTTGGGATGGGGGCGGAGCAAATACCTAACGAAGGGCCCCTAAACCAACGAGCCCCCACATTTCAGTACAGGCGTGCAGCCAGAGCCTTGGCAGGGGAGAAGCACAGGGTTGACAAAGGGCCCCCTAATAGTAACAGCCGTAAAGCCTCCCCCCCAACCAAGAATCATCAAATATGGCCCATTTGTTAATGGAGGGATGCTCTTAAATTTTGTCCATGCTTATCAGTTTTGTAATGGTCCAGCAGACTTTTTGTAAACCGATATAACTCATAAGCTTTGCTGAAACCTTACGTGGACTGTGCAGAGGACCCCGCGAATGTAGATCGAAATGGCTCAACAATTTGAATTGACATCACAACGCATGTTTGTCTGGAAATGCTCCACATCCAGTCAGAATTGATTGGTGATACAAATCGTGTAACGTAGCTTCGAGCATGCACTCTCGTAAATCTTAGTAAAAACAAAACAAACAAAAAAACGTCGACACCAGGCGTTGCAATCTCCGTAGGCCGCGCGGCGTCGGCCCCGCGGCTAGCACAAAGCTGTGGGTAACCGATGGACGAAAATGTACCTTTGATTTGATATTTGACAAAAGTACCTTTCCACGCGTTAGGACTTCAAACCGAAGATTTAGAAGGTAGCCGGACGTATATGTCACCTGTGCGATTTTTAGATCGACAATTTAAACGGACTGGCCCTCACAGCACCGCGAAGTGGTGCTGGAATTTGGTGGTAGAACTGGAGAAGCAAAGGTAGAATTTCCATTTTTCGTGTCGCTGTAGCTCTTAATCTCTCCATGGAAGAAAGTGAAAGTTGCGAAAAAGATACACTCAGCTTGACTTTTGAACGGTACGGATCATTTTTATAAGACATTCGGAAGCATTGTTGGACGACGGTCACTCTCGCGCGCACGGCACCCGACGCCTGGTCTTACTTGCAGTGGCCAACGCCGTTCGGTTTCACGGAAACTGCAATCCAGGTTATCGTTGTCCTTGCTTCCGAGATTGCGGACGCGCAGGCTCAATCCTGTTGATAATTTGTTCCACTAGTCGACCCTGCAAAAGAATAAACGTTCTCAGGCAGACATGGAATAGCCTCATTCGTTTTTTTAACTCATTTTGACCCACTCTTTTCAACACTAATGACACTCCCTATTTCCCGGAATGTCTCACCACCCTCCCCCCTCGCCCTTGGGTAGACTATTAGGGGTATATTATTGTTCCCGGTCAAGAGTTGAAGGACCATTCCGTCCCACCGCGGGGTGTCTTCCGACAGCCATCCTGACGACACGGGGCGGGATCCCCTGAGCGATCCGGGAGCCATTAGAGCGAAATATCGTATCACATTGGTATCCCCGATGCTGGAGACCTCCTCACCCGTACAGACCGTAACTGACCCCGGATCGACGCAGAAACCCTCACCGACGTAACAACATTCCTGATCGGCGCAGGTGGTCCAATAATTGGGACATAGGCCCCAGCTCGGCTTAACGGGCACATGCTGGAGGTGGGCTGAAGGGCCCACCGTTCGGTATTGGGGCCTCTGACGGGCACAGTACCCTTCCATTGCCTCAATGTGAACAATCATCATAAGCTGTCATGTTCCCTTTCATTGTCAGAGGGCCCCGACCAACGTAAAAGGCCTCTGTCATTCGGAGTCCTGTCCCCGTCACTATTGAGCACATCTTTCTCTGACCGACTCGAGGCCCCTTGTTGACACGGAACACGTTGTTCGGTGCTGTGGACCCCTGAACGAGACAGGAGCCCCGCATTGTTTCAGGGGCCCCGTCTGATGTAAATCGCGGGCCGGGCCGTGTCCCTGTTTGGGAAATGGGCCCCAGAGCCCTGACCGACAGGGAGCCTACTGTTCGGTGTTGGTGATCTCTGGCCGAAACAGAGGGACGTTCTCTCTCAGGGGTCTCCAATCGGTGCGAGAGACTTTTTAACTTACGTTTGAGATCACGGCCCTGCGGGTTGTAGTCCTTTATGTGACCCACAGCTAGCCTTTTGGGCTGTTTAGCCTTCCAGTCGGACCCTTGGTCTTCGTTTTCAAGGAACCTTTCAGTCGCTTTTCGAGCACCCTCAGACACCGCTCCTGACCGACTCGGGCCGCTCGCCGCTACGCGACCCCTTCTAGGCACTGTGGCCCCTGGCTGACACAGGAGCCCCTCATTGTGTCTGGAACCCCGAAAAGTGCAAATCGCGGGCCCCGACCATGAACCTGAAAGGGAAATTGGTTTCAAGGGTCCAGATGGACTTAGAGCCTTCTCTAGCTCTAAGTCCGTCGTTTCGCTCTGGGTGGAGGTCCTATAAAGATAATAATAACATTAAAAATGCGGCTTATCTTGCACCACCAGGTCAGTACATAGCTTGACACATACAGGTATAAAATCACAACACGCACAGAAGCAAAGAGCAAGCCTCAGTACTTGTTTGACAGGTCAGAGGACCTTATCCAGGGTCATGACCCAGTTCACACAACTGGTGGCGATCACGGACAAACATACTCAGGTGGGCGATGGAGATGTTCCGAACATCTGACCGGCTGAATTCCTGGATGTCCAATGCAATGAGATCATACTCACGCCGGAAATACACAAATGTCCTGGCAATGATGCCCACACAGGGGCCCAGTCATTGTTTCAGGGACCCAGACCAGTGCAAATCGTAGCCCCCGACCCTGCTCCTGTCTGGGAAATGGGCCCCCCAGTTCAGACTGACAGGGAGCCAGTTGTTTGGTGTTCGTTGTCTATGGCCAACTAAGGCACCCGCATTGTCTCAGGGGTCCTCAAACCTAGGAACTCTGCCCTCCAACTGTGCCCTTGATCGTCGGTTCCGGCGGCCCGCCCGAGCCCCTCTTTGTGCCTCATCGAGCACTGTACGTGATCGCCTCGGGACCACTTGAGAGCACAGGACTCTCTGTTAGTTGCTGTTGGATACAGGGGTCCGACACCTGGCAGATACGGGGGCAGCGACCAGTGTAAACCACTGGCCACGGCTTTGTATCTGATTGGGCCTAGTGGGCCCC